TTTTTTTTTAAAGGTTTGTGCTCATAATAAAATGGTTGTCAATTTGTTCAAACCTTTACAAACTTATATAATTATTAAAGAGAAAATTATGAGAAAAGACTTTAGAGAAAATCATATTTATTGAAAAGGATAATAAAAATTATAATTATTTTAAAAAACTAAATACTAAAATATGAATTTGAAAATACTAAACTCCCTCTCATGAATCTTCCTCCCTGTCCTCCTACCTTCAATTTTTTAAAAAAAAATTAAAAACTAAAACCAAAACTGCTTTTCATGCCATGGTAATTTATATAACAAGATATATGATGTAACATATTATTATATTATTATATTGCACATATATATGGGATCCCCTTGTAGAAATGGCTTAGCCAAACTGGTATGTCTTTTTATTTGGAATTGACGTAACTATGAGATGTGGAAGAATGCGATGCCCTTTGAGTGGGAAATGAAATGTAAAATGGAATAATATATTATCAGAGTATTTTTTTTCTGTATATATGTTTAGTCTTTTCACTTCTCCCAGCTATAACCATGAGATCTGTCTCTCCTTTTTGGGTGGCGTGTCTTTTCACTTCTAGCTATATTTTGTTTTTATCATTTGCTGTTAATATGTTTAAGTGGACTTGAGTTAATATGGAAGCACCCATAAATTTAAACCTTAAGATTTCAAGTTAAAGGATATTTTCATTCACTTCTCATTACCCCATGTGTTCTCTTATATATGCTTTCCATTATATTTCCATCCATCACTAATAAGTGTTATTAGAGCTAGATTTTAGCCGAACAGGCAAAATTGGGCTTACTATGTAATGTATATATAATAAAGTAGAATAATGATTTTATAAACTTTAGGCTTCGCTCTCCATTCCTAACATTATTAAAAAAAATTAATTAATATTCATGAATTACCTTTGAGCCTCACATTGTGACGGTCATGATCAAATAAAGCAGTTAAGCATTTTGTTTTTTTTTCCCAAAAAAAAAAAACCAGAAGTGGGGCATCTTTTGCGTACAATAATTGTAACTCAACCGGCATATTTGCTACTCCCTGTCTCCCTTTGTCTCTTTTTTTAAACAACAACTATCATCTCTCTCTTTTTTTGTAAATATAAGTAACAAGTTGTCTTAAATTTTTGTAGCAAATTTTCTATTTTGTCCCTATTACTTACTTATTTTAATATTTAATATATTTATTGTCTCATTTACCAAATTATCATCTCTCTCCATCACACATTCTCTCTTTTATAATTCTCTTTATTATAATAATTTTTTTTATTCTCTTTCTTATACTCTCTCTCCCTCATAAATAAGGTTATTTTAGAGGAAAAACTTCTAATTTTTACGTATTTAGTATCTTTAACTAACTTTTTGATCTACATAATGGAGTCCTATGCTACTTATAGCAAGGGATGGATACCTTTGAGTGATTAATAACAAACTATGCATTCTTACATACAAGGCAGAGAGATAATTTTTTTTGGTTCATATTCTAATCTTAAGCTTAATTTATAATTATCCAATTTTTTATTTGTTTTAAAAATTATTTTTTATGCATTGATTTTAAAAAATCTAAAATAATTCAAAAATTGAAAATGTATAACATGATATACACGTGGTTTCCAAAATTGATGGGAGAAGGAGAATAAAAAAGTAATGAGAATTTTTTGAAAGGAAAGTTTTTTCCTTTAAAATCTCCATATTTTACAAGAGAAACAGTTGAAGAGGAAAATATGAGTCGCACATATTATTTTCTCTCCAATTTTCTCTCCTTCTTGCTTTTCTCTACATATCCAAGGAGGGGAAGATACTATTCCGATTCTAAATATAAAATTTATTTTGTAGTGTAATTTATACTATAAAATGAATCTTATATTTAGGACCAGAGGAGTATAATTTTCGCTCGTGTTAGCTCAAGCAAGTAGAGGTAACGCAACTTCAGATTATATGTATCCTTTCAAGCAATTATGTCTTCAAAGGTACCTCAAAGATATTATCCTTTCTTTCTTTCTTTTAATTTACATTGATCGTTGATTCGCTTCGAAAATTTAGAAATGCATTGTAATAATTGGAATATGATTAGCTAGCAGATTTTGGATTGACATAACTGAGACATGCAAAAACGAATAATATATGCGTCGATTTAAATTTGTCCTATCCGGTGATTAGGGAAAATTAAAATAAAATATTCAAGGAAGAGGAAAATATGAGTCGCACATATTATTTTCTCTCCAATTTTCTCTCCTTCTTGCTTTTCTCTACATATCCAAGGAGGGGAAGATACTATTCCGATTCTAAATATAAAATTTATTTTGTAGTGTAATTTATACTATAAAATGAATCTTATATTTAGGACCAGAGGAGTATAATTTTCGCTCGTGTTAGCTCAAGCAAGTAGAGGTAACGCAACTTCAGATTATATGTATCCTTTCAAGCAATTATGTCTTCAAAGGTACCTCAAAGATATTATCCTTTCTTTCTTTCTTTTAATTTACATTGATCGTTGATTCGCTTCGAAAATTTAGAAATGCATTGTAATAATTGGAATATGATTAGCTAGCAGATTTTGGATTGACATAACTGAGACATGCAAAAACGAATAATATATGCGTCGATTTAAATTTGTCCTATCCGGTGATTAGGGAAAATTAAAATAAAATATTCTATCCCATCATCACAATAAAACGGTTTTAACATCCCACCGAAATTTAAAAAAAGGTTAGAATATACTTTTAATCTTTTAATTTTACAAGAGGTTTTAATTTAATCCCTTAACTTTAAAAACTATGTTTTTAGTCCTTTAATCTTAAAACTACTAAACAAAATAATGATGATATTAAGATCTTGAATGTTAATAAGGCATTCTCAAATGTTAACACATTAAGTTTGATTTTCAAAACAACTATGGTTGTTATAAAAAAAATAATTATTTAAGACTAACGATTTTATGATTAAAGAATTAAAAATATATTTTTTAAAGTTAAAGGACTAATTTGAAACCTTGTATGAAAATAAAGGATCTAATGTATCCTAAAAAAAGAGTAGTAAATTATTAATTTTGTTTGACGAGTAAAAATTTGACATTCATGCTTATTTAAAATTAGAAGTCACATATTGAGAAGCTATAGAAAAATTTAATTGAACATTTAATGGGGAAATTTTTTGGGAAAATTGAGGAGAAGGACCTAAAAAAATTAGTATTTATGGAGAGGGATCTTAAAAATTGAAATTAATTTGAAGGACCAAAAATTAAAATATGAATTTACAATTATGAAATTATCCCTGGCCAAATCCCTACATTATCTCCAAGACCCATCTCAATATTTGACTATCAGTTATCAATTGAAATATAAATTTATAATTACTAAATTGCCCCCATTAAAATTAAAAACTAAATACAGCAATTAACAAAAAATAGAGTCCTATTTTTCAGTCATTCATATCTGGATCTACTAGCCTTTCATTCCAATATGGCTGGAAAAATTTCCAGCTTGCCCAACTATGATTTTGCCCCTCATTCCGATGTGGTTGGAAAAATTATTAGTGAAACTTAGGTTACGAAGAGGTATTATTTACTTGATTTTCATATTTTGATTAACACAAAGAAATATATTTATATTCATCTAAGAAGCTTTGTATAGGTAGTGTGATTATGTTCATATGTATGTATAGTTGGGATTGAATGAAGGTACAAATATATACTTTTATATTCATCCAAAAAGTCTTTATATAGAGGCCATGAGAAAATTAGAAAACATTCAGTACAAATAAACTAAAGGAGGGAAAATAATGTTCAGAATATACATACCATCTAATAAATAGTCTGCTACTTGATTCCTTTTAATTTGTCTTCTTTGTTCTGGATTTACAAGAAGATAATTGCTATTGGTAAAAACTTTGGGTGCATCAAAAAGAGATACACAGAGACAGAGACAGAGAGAGAGAAATCAAGTTCAATTGATAATTAACCGTCAAATTGAGATAGGAGGGTGTTGGAGATAATGTAGGGATTTGATAAGGGATAATTTGGTAATTGTAAAATTTTATTTTAATTTTTGGTCTTTCAAATTAATTACAAATTTTAAGATCCCTCTTAATAAATACTAATTTTTTTAGGTCCTTCTCCCTAATTTTCCCTTTTATTTTTCTCTTTGCATTTATTGGAACAATAATTGTAGGAAGAATTTGAATTTTAAACCGTAATTTTGGAAGTTATTGTGTTGGCAACACTTTGAACGTTGATTTTCTTGCTTGTTGAGATCTTATAGTCTATAAAAGTTAAGCATATGTATATTATCAAGCTTAAATAAGGAACTTTACCAGTAGTATTTGAAATTCTCATCCACATCTTAAACATGGTCGCAGCCATACATCTAAAGGCTCAAGGTTTGTGATATTACCTTTAAAATCAATGCAATTGAGCGAAGAGCCGGGTAAGTTGTTTGAATATCAGTTGGTTCTAGTTTAGAGTCTATATTGTCTTGAGCCTACCAAGTTAAGGTTGCCAGTCATGCTATATAGATTCCCATATTTGAAAGTTCAACTTTTGTTTGAATATTCTTTCTACCTTTTCTTTTCCTTTATCAATTTACTTGCAAATTAAAGCTAACTCCCTTCTCCATTTTGCAGCACAATACTCAATTTCTTCAACAAATTCTTCAAAATAGGAAATCAGATTTTCTAGAGAGGCTTATTAATCATTATTGCATTGACTGGTGTCAAGATTCTTCTTTCTATATGGTTGACGTTATTTTAGGCTGAATGTGAGCTGCAAATAGGAGGGCTGGCAATGAGAGAACCCAAGCAACTTCTGTCTTTACTAAAATTTAAACTTGAAGATTTTGTTCTTTTCCACCTTCAATGCATTAACACTTAGTATTTTACTGGAATCTATCTACGATACTTTTCTATTTGATCAACCTTTTGGATTAGTCACTGGAGCCCCTAGCATCATGGCATCCAAGAAGAAGCAATACTAGGGTATTGCTTTGCTGTCCATGTACAATGATGAGGAAGATGACGAGATGGAGGATGTTGAAGGAGGAATGGAGGGAGGAGAGCGACAAGAACAGGATGGTGGGGATGCGAGGATTGCAGAGGAAAATCTAGAGAGTGATGCTGAGATGATGAGGATCCCTGATTCTGCTAATGAGGCTACTCTACTGGCTGAAAATTACGGGATAACACCAGAGAAGAGTAAATTTGGGACTTCAATGCCACCACAGTCTTTGGTTGATATGCTGGTTTCACAGCAGGATCAACAAGTAGTGTCTGTTGAATCTAGGAGGAGTAAGAGAGGGACAATTACCATTGTAGACTGTGGTCATGATGAGATAGCAATGTCACCTGAGCCAGAGTTACTCTCTCTTACTTGAATCCACCGCTCTATTTTTTTTTTTTTTAAGAAATGCATTTCAGTAGGACTGAGGACATGGCAATTTTGGTATATTTGTCTTCTATACGTTCCTTCATCATTATTTTCTTCCATTGATGGAGTCTTGTCTCTTAAACTTGAAAATTGCCCAAAATGTTTAAGACCCTGACGTTACCTTGGCCATCCTGGCTTGGCCATATTTTCCAGGCAGGTTACCTTCTACTAGGAAACCATTTTCTCCTTCTTTATTTTAGGTTATAAGTTAATAACTTATATTTGGTTCTGATATCAGGATGGAGGGCTTGATGGTAATGGTCAACTCATGTTTGAGGAAGAACTTCAAAAAACAAATGGTATTTCCCCTTTTGATTAAAGTATGTTCTACTAAATTTAGTGTATCCTTTCTTTGGACACCTCATCCCACTACAGGTTATTCTCAGAGAATGAATATTACTTGATTAATCTGTTGGCGGTAAAGAAGAATATCTCAAGAGCTTCACAATCTCATTGATTTCTTTTTGGAACAGAAGAATTTAAAATTTTGACCGGTAATCTATTCTCTCATTTGGCCAAAAAGTCTGTTCTTTATGGAACTTGTATAGACAGTTCTGGTAAGATAATTATGAATATGAGCTAATGAATCTGAACTGTTATATTGATAAGGTAATAAACATATAAAACAGTTAAAATTAACTTCTGCATGAAATGTATTTAATCAAGAATGATTATTCAACTGACCTTTTATCTGCTAGTCTCTCCGGTTCAATGTCCAGTCAGGCTTTTAAAACATTAGTTTTAAGTAATAGTTTAAATTAAAAAATAATTTCCCTCAATTTTTGATAAAGTAGAAAATTGTATTCCTCTGGTCCTTAATATAAGACCCATTTAACTAATTTGATTAGATTAAGGAAGTTAGGTAAATTAGTTAATTATAAGAAAGGTGACACATTTTTCCTAAAACACCATAATCATCTTTCTTAATACCCCCTCTTTCTTTTCTACTTGATTATAGTTGAGGGAGTATACATAGGGGCAATTTAGGAAAAATTGATAAATATAAGAAATGGGTCTTATATTGAGGATCGAAACTAACTCAAAAATTGGGTCCTATATTAAGGACCGGAAGAGTATAAAACTATTTCTAGCTTTTGCATATTTGTTGTTCTTTCATGACAATGTGCTGTGATTTTTATTATTATTGCAGAGAAAGATATATAAATCTCTTGAGTGTAAGAAGGCTGGAAAAAGTTTTAATGCAGCAGTTCGCAATAGGAAGGACTATCGGAACCCTGATTTCCTGTTGCTTGCTGTGAGGTATCAGGATATTGACCAAAGAGGATCTTGCTTTGATAAGGATGTATTGGACCCTCATAGATATGACCCAAGTGACTACTACGACCAAACAGGTGCTTAACTGTGTCTTCTCTGCATCTACTTTCTTGTACTTCCCTGTGCTTGTTTATTTTATGCTCATATTTTACCTGATTTTGTCAATTATATGATACTTCTTGTGTGTCCTCGCAAACATTAATATTTCATGTTTGTCATACTCTAGATATATTGGTCGCTGGTATCTGGGCTGTTTAGGCTATTATTGTTCACTATACTAACAACGGACTTGATATCTGGTACTAAAGAACTTGTTTGTCTTCTAACCTGATGCTGAAATTATGTTTTTCCATTGGATCGTGTTTTTTCTCTTCAAAATTCCTTTTGATAATATTATTTACGCTGAAATGGACAGCCAACATATATACATAGCTGTGTATGGCTAGTTATATCTGCTTTGGGGTTCTTTCTATATTTTTTATGAATATGTTGGTCATGATTTTGGAAGGTAAATACTAGCCTAATTTAAGTTTTCATTGTGAATTTAACCAACTTATTTATCATCCCATATTTTGTTATTTGTTCATATTTTCCTCAACACCATCAGATCATTAAGGCCAACTTTCGTCCCTACTTGATGGATTGGTCTTGCAGTCAAGCTCCCTTTAAGTACTTGATACTGATGTTGCTTTACCACCCCTAACTATCGCATAGGCAGATATGAGACGTGGAAGTGACAAGAAAGAGCAGGAGAAGAAAGCCCAGAAAGTTGAATTTTTCTCTAGGGGAGCAAAACCAGGAATTGTAACTAGTGTTCTAAGGATCAATGTACCCGTTGCAGGTTATAAAGCAACCTAGCTTACCTATGGTATGGCAAAAGTCATTCTCACTACTCATTTTCTATTTTATGCTGATTTTCTCTCTTCTCTCTTCAAGTGGTTTGCCTTTGATGCCTCCTACTGCTGAGGACACCAATTGTGATGGTAGACTAAACAAAAAATAAAAATGGGACGAGGTATTCATTTAAACAAATGCACCAACACGTGCAACTTGCTTCAAATTTTTACACAATATTTCAGTGAATAATAATCCTGTTTAGGTGGATGGGGATTAGAATGGGGCAGCATTCTGTGCCTACTTACGCTACAATTTTGCTGCTAATGCTGGTGATGGGTACATGCATTTTGCGTGAGATTATGAATGACTTTGAGCTTCTTTATGTATTCTAGAATGGGATGTGTTTGATACTATGACCACTGTTGTAATGTTGGACATGCAGCAAAAACGACGAGAGGCAGAGGAGAGAAGGTCAACTGAAAGGAAGGAAAGAAGGTCATGAGCTCCACTCATTTTGGTCTGTCAAACTAATGCCTCCAACCATTTTGAAGTCCTTTAGTTTGCCGTCGACAAAAATGTTTGTCTATTCAGTAAGTTTTGCTAAGTCACCATTCTATATATCATGAAAGGTGGAAAGGAATAGTGTTGTGGTTAGCACTACAGGATTTCAGTAAGCTAAATGGTTGGTTTTATTTTGTTTAACTTTTTTTACGAGCACGCTGAATCAGGATTTCGAGCAGGATTGTCATTCCAGTTGCTTGCGACAGTACAAAATGCACCACTGATTTGCTTTATAGTGGTCTATGTATAAGCTTTTCTTTTTTATTTTTTTGGATAGTTCTTAATACATGTGAGAGAGTATATAAGTGACTTTTTTTCATTAAAAATGATGTTTTGGGCTTTTAGTTGTCAGTGTGAATGGTGCCAATGGCATAAGCAAGTAAAGCGAAAGATAAAATAAAGGGCATCAGGGAGTAATTTTGTTAACTAATATCAAGAAAGTAAAATATGGTGAATTTAAATGCTAGATATTTCATTCATTCTAGCTAACAGTTTAATATTAACCTAATAGAGTTATTTTCATCATTGCTTACCATTATCTTTCGAAATTTGGACCGTAATAGATAGATTGGCATGATTTAAATCTTTAAATTGGTGTGAAAAAATAACTTGTCTCTTATCTAGCTTGCTTGCAGCTAAGTCTTAGTCAATTACACAAACATAAATCTTATATCTAATTTCATTTATTGTTCTTCTGTGCCTTCACGGATCATAAAAATGAATATTGTTTCATACAATTATCAAGAACTCCATGGTCAATTGTGACCAATCTCATTGAACTAATTAATAATCTTTATAACACAATTAAGCAAACCACACAAATGTTGAATGAAAGCTTCACAATCACAACACACCAATTTCTGAGTCTTTCATACATTAATGAAGCAAACCACGCTTTGGATAGAGTTTTGTCATGCATCACCCAATTGTTTATGATAAAAACAAAGTCTCATTTATCAAATAATTGAGAATTCAACAAAAGCATCACGGCACAAATATCTGTCCATATCCGTCATCTTGTAGTCAATGATTTTGTAGTCCACACTTCGGATTAGCCGCCTGCATTAATCAAGCAACGAAACGAAGAAGGCTATTTAGTGTATTCTACATATATTCATGTTATCAACTATAATTCATTTTGTATTCAATGCGTCAAAAAAGCCTTATTTGTTTTCTTATTTTGAAAGACGTTTTTTGTTTTTAAAAGGCTTGTTTTATAATTTGTTGTTAAGTGTTTTTAAAAACCAAAAAACAAAAATATTTTTAAAAACTCAAAAACGAAAACAACTTTTAGTTATTTTCTAGTTTTTGTTTTCACATTTCCTCTTTTTCTGTTTGCAAAAATTGGAAAAACTTTTTTTTCTCCACTTGATGGCTTTTTTCTCATTTAAAAACTTGAGTTCTCATTGAAACTTCACTTTCTAGTCTCATTATGTTTATGTTCAAATGCAATTTTTTGAAGCAATTAACCAAACAGATTTTTTTTTTCAAAACTTGTTTTAAAAAACAATTTTGAGAAGGAAAAAAAAACAGTCCCTCTGTTTTTATCATTCTATTTTGTAAATATATACTCCTCCGGTCCTTAATATAAGACACATTTAACTAATTTGATTAGATTAAGGAAGTTACGTAAGTTAGTTAATTATAAAAAATGTGACACGTTTTTCCTAAAATACCATAATCATCTTTCTTAATACCTCATCTTCCTCTTCTACTTGGTTATAGTTGAAGGAGTATCCATAAGGGTAATTTAGAGAAAATTGATAAATATGATAAATGGGTCTTATATTTAGGACCAAAACCAACTCTCCAATTGGGTCCTATATTAAGGACCGGAGGAGTATCATATTTAGTTGAAAACATGGGTTAAATAGTTGGGGTAAACAAATTATCAAAATCATCCTTTTTGAAATACGCCGGCTGTTTCTTTTCTTCTTAATCACAGTTGATCTCTTTAAAATAAGCAAAAGTGATTCACTAACTCAACCGATACTATACAAAGAGAATGTACAGAAACAAAGAAAATTTTTATAAAAAAGTAAAAAAAAAACACACACACACACACACACTCACTCACAAAAAGATGGCTCCCCTGTTTCATCCTTTAATATGTAGAGTTGTTGATATTATAGTAACTACTATTGGAAAAGAAATTGAAATAAACTTCAACAAGCAACTCATATCTTTTAGTGATAGTAAAGCACAGACAAATGTAGCAAAAACATACAAATAATTTAAGAAAAAGAAAAAATTTGGCGTATAGGGAGAAAAAAAGAGATGAAAGTTTTTTTATTTTCAAGCTTGTCCCCTCATATATGAGGCTTTTATTGATATCATAATAACCACTAGGAAAAAAAAAAACAGCCGACAAGCAGAAAAATCATAAAAGTAACGAACCTGGAAAAAATGATAACATGGATGATGGACTTATCCTTCTATATATTAACACTATCCTGCAATAACAAATCAAAATATTAGCTGCCTAAAATAGAAGGTAATTTTGAAAAGAGACGTCATTGGCATGAGCACGATACAATCAATTTTCTATTTCCTTGGTCATTAACAACACATTTTCCGAAACAACATTTGTTAGTGTGGGTATGTCATACCTTTGCTGAGGATAGCATTTCTACTGTTTTGTTAAGGTCTTCTTTATCCTTCCATTTCATCTCATGCTCTTCTATTTTTACTCTAGACAACTCTGGTGTTTTCAGCGCTCCTGGACAAAACATCTTCATTTCATGACATCCAGTTATTTCTATCACTTTTAATTCAGGGAATTCAAATGTCAGACTTTGTGAAGAGAACATCTTCAAGCTTGGCACATCAGTAAGTTCAATCCGCTGTAATCGGTTGAGAGTGATTCCACCTTCTACACCTTCATTGTTCTCATTCAATACAATTTCCTCCATTTTTTTACAATCGTTTATCCCCAACCGTTCAAGACTCGCCAAGCTTTTGGCAGTTGAACTTGTCACCAAATAGACGAGTTGATGGCACCCAGATATAGACAGCTTCCACAAATTTTGAAATGAAGCAAAGGATGGTGCCAACCTGACCAAGCTATGACAACTTTCGACTTCTAGGCATTTTATTAGGTCTTGATGAATTGGTGGTAGCTGAGAGTCATCCTTCCATATGCTCTTGAGTTGATCCAAATAGGCAATGTGTAATTCCTCAAATGGTGGGATTTTCCCCATAAAATCGATAATCTCATCTTGTGGGGGAAATACCTCCTCAAAGGAACTATTCTCCACATAAAGCTTTTCCAACATGGGAAATCTTTCAAGGGACCTATAGGGAAAGGTTACCCCTTCATCCTTGAAGCTTTCTACATAAAGAGTTCTCACTTTAGGAAAAACATTCCTTATCATCATGATATTCTCTGCATTTAAAGCCATGCTTCTGGTTGTGGAAATTACCTATAAAATGATAATTAATAACATAATTACCATAATGAGTAGGCGATTTAGTAGATTACATCATGATATTGTTTTCAAGAATCAAAACTTTTCAAACGGATCACTCATCTTTTGCCAATATCTAAATTTTCATCATTTCACCATGAAATAAGATCCACACATTAAAATTTTAAAAATCCTTTAAATTAACGTCATAACCCCCTTTCTTTTCTCTAAATTAAATTTAAAAAACCCCATAATCCCCTTCGAATTCACATTTAAGGCTAGGCTTTTTTTACTATGAAAATAACCTGTAAAACGATTATTGGTAAAATTATTATTATAAGAAGGCAATTTAATAAATCAGGTCAGAATACTTTTTAAAATAATAATTTCTTATATAATTGTAGATAAAATCTTTCTTAATTGACCTGTCATCTTTTTCTCATACTTATATTTTTCATCATTAATCCCCCCTCCCCTCCTCAAAATCACTTTAAACAGAAACAAAATTCTTTGAATCACTTTATAGGCCCATTTCTTTCTAGTCAGAGATCTACAAACATTATCACACTATTTGCAGTCTGCCACATCCATTAATTACCATTTGCTTGTCAGCTTTTGTGTGCAATTAGGGTCTTAAAATTTGATGAAAAGTTTACAATTTTTGGGTAGACAAAGGAATGTCCAAACTTTAATATTTATGTCAGATATTTATCTGAACCTAAATTTTGTAGACGATGAGGAATTATTTAAAAAGTGAAAAACAAGAATATTAGTATGTTGGACTAACCTCTTGAATAGTAAACCCATGTTGGATGGTGGCATTAAGATCAGTCATCCAAATATCTATGTGATCAAGTCCATATTGAGTCATCACTCGAACCTTTTGAAGCAGCGGGGCATGGATGGCTCCAGAACAGAATATTGTGAGTTGAGGGCACTCTGTTACGATGGCAAATTGTAATAATGGAAACTTGAAAGTATAATTTTGGCTGCAAAATCTCTTCAACCTTGGTAATTCATCAAGTTCCAAATACTCCAGTTTGCTGAAAATGATTTTCTTGTTCTCATTGTCCTCTTTTTTCTGTTTCGTCATAAGTTCTTCTATTTGATGGCATGAACTATCTCGTGAAGAAACTAAGTTTATTTCTCCTTGGCGGTCATTATTGCCCAACACATTCCTCAATTTTGGCAAATCATCTAGCGTTAACTTTTTCAGTGGCACAATCACTGATGATGACACCATCTCTTGATAATCATTTAAATCTTCAAAATCAAACACCGTCTCTAGCATGTCACACGATGTGACTTCCAATTCTTCCAAGTTGTTTAAAGATTTCAGCACATGAAGGGGTAACAATTTCACAAAGCGACACCTCCGCACAGTCAATGTTTTCAAGTTGCCAAATGAGTTGTGTGAAAGTTTGTCATCCCATATCGGTGGAATCAAACTGTTTAATAAGCATAATTCTAATATCTCTAACTTTGGGAATGACACCTGTTGAAAGAAAATATAATTAAACGAAAATCTTTTGGCAAAAAATGAAAACGAAGTTACTGTTGATTTGTGAGGCTTAGTTTCATGAAAGATTGTTTAAATGTGTAAGTACAGATCTCGTGTACCACAATATTCTTCAAGAGATTGATAAAAGTTCAACTTCAAATTTCAAGTTCACCAAACAGAAATAACTAACTAAAAAACAAGAGAACCATAAAATGCTACAATAGCGAGCCTAATACCAAAGTAAGTAATTTAAGTGAAATAATTTTTTTAGATATATTGAGGCAAGAAAAAAATAAGAACATATTTTTATTGAACAGAGTAAATAATTCCAATGAAATTAATTTTCACAGCGTAAGTTTGAAATTAAGAAGTTAATCAAATAAGAAAATTTTGGTAAGGAAAGAATATACTAGATAAAAAGAAAATTAATTTTTGTCCATAAAAAACAGTAATAAATTGATGAGTAAAATATTCTGCCCTTCAAGTGGCACAACAACCGATGATGGCATCATCTCTTTATAATCATTCAGATCTTCAAAATTAAACACGATCTCCAACATGCCACAGTTCCCGGCTCTCAGTTCTTCCAAATTGTTTAAAGATTTTAGCACATGAAGGGGCATCAATTTCACAAAGCCACAGCTTTGCACAATCAATGTTTTCAAGTTGCTGGATGAGTTATCTAAAAGTTGGTTATCCCATATCAATGGAATCAAACCGTTTAAATTGGATAATTCTAATATCTCTAACTTTGGAAGTAACACCTGTTGGAAAAAAAAATATAATTAAAAAAAATCACTTTTGATCTTTAGGCTTAAGTTTCACAAAAGATTGTTTAAGTTCTAACTAAAGCTTTCATGTACCACAATATTCTTCAAGGGATTGTTAAAAGTTCAATTTGAAACTTCAAGTTCGCAAAAATTAATTAATTAATTAATTAATTAATTAATTAATTAATTAAGTAATTAAAAAAGCGAAAGAACTTTAAAATGCTATGGCAACTAGCCTAACCAAATTGAATAATTTAAGTGAAACTAATTTTTGTAGATGCGTTAAAACGAGAAAAAAATAAGAACATATTTCCAGTGAAATTAATTTTCGCAACATAAGTTTGAAATTAAGAAGTTAATACAAGATAAGAATAGGGTGGCAGGAAAAAAAAAAAAATAATAAATCAATTTTTTTGTCCACCAAAACAATAATAAATTGATATGAACATACCTTATGACGGCTGAAAAGTGATCTGAAAATGTTTCTACTTGTTACTCGGCCTTCACTGTTGAAATCCGTTTTATCCTCTTCTGTTTTCAATCTTGGTAGAAGGGTGAGTTCTAATATTCTCAACGCATTGAATGTGATTCTCCCTTCCACAGCTTCATTAGTCTCATTCATCACAAGTTTCTCCATCTTTCTGCAATCATATATCTCCAATGTTTCAAGATTCACCAAACTTTTGGCAGTTGAACTTGTCATTAAATAGATGAGCTGATGACATCTCAAGACCTTCAGCACTGTCAAATTATTAAATAAGGTGGAGGATGGTGCCAATTTAATCAAGTGAGAACAATTTTCAACATTCAGGATTTGTAGATTTTGAATTGGGGACAGATGAGAATCATCCTTCCATATGTTCTTGAGCTGATGCAAATTGGCAAGGTGGAGTTCCCCGAATGGTGGAATTTGATGAACAATGTGTGCATGTGATGGGAATATCTCTTCAAAGGAACTATCCTTCACATGAAGCGCATTCATCTGTGGAAATCTTTCAAGCAATGCATACGGAAATGCTATCCATTCATCAAGAAATCTTTCTATGCGAAGAATTTCCACTTGAGGATAATGGTCCACTGGAAATTGGTCATTCCATATGATGCTAGCATCATTCTCGTCTAACACCCCCTCTCTTGATGCCAATTGCTATGGGCAAACATATTATTCAATCATCAAAACATAATTTAATATTTTGTACTAAGAAAAGTTTATTAATAATAATGTCCTATTTCACTGTGTCTCAAATTAAAGTCAAATGCACTCACTAGTAGAAAGAAAACTTTGAATAATTTTGTTGCCCATTTTCTTCCTTGTCAAAGAAGTGTGTCAAACATTTTGATTTCATTAATTATTATAATAATATCAACTAAAACAAAAAAGAACAATGATATAGAACACCCTGCCATTTATCCCATTAATTAATATTGATCTAATTGTTTGCAGTGTTTGTTAATTAAAGTGATATAATAAGAAAATTATAATCAAAATTTTAGTAGATTCTTTATATGAGTATTTTTGTGAAGCTGGAAATAGCAAGAATTGAGCATGATAGATCGACGCACCTGTTGGTAGATTGTTTTGTTAAGACTGACGCCCCAAAATTGTTGAGGTTTATCTCCATCTTGTAATAGTTGAACGCTTTTGAGAGATGGTGTATCGATGAGTCCTGGAGAGAATATTTTTAATGTTGGACAGTTTATTATGATTACTTGATCCAATGAGGGAAACCTGAAAGTATAATTGTGGCCGCAAAATCTCTTCAATGCTGGAATCTGATCAAGTTTCAAAAACTTCAATTTGCAGAAAAGGATTTCCTTGTCCTCATCATCCTCTCCTTTTTGCTTCGTTACAATTTCTTCTATCTTTTTACAGTCATTCATCTCCAATGTTTCGAGATTCACCAAACTTTTGGCCATATGATTTGTCACTAAATAGACAAGCTGATGGCATTTGGACACCAGGACCGTCAAACTATCAAATGAAGTAGAGGATGGTGCCAATGTAATCAAACTAGAACAGTTTTCAACATGAGGGACTTCTAAATTTTGAATTGTGGGCAGCTGAGAATCATTCCTCCATATGTGCTTGAGCTCATCCATATTGGCAAGGTAGACTTCCTTCAATGGCGGAAATTTTCCCGTATGATCAACAATGTGTGCTTGTGATGGAAATATCTCCTCAAAGGGACTATGTTGCACATGAAGTGCTTTCAGCTGTGGAAATCTTTCAAGCAATGTCATCATTTTATAGACAGATCTTTCGATGCGAAGAATATCCACTCTAGGACACTGGTCCACTGGAAATTGGTCACTCTCATCTAACACCAGCACTCCTGATGCGACAAATTGCTGTAAAACAATTATGGGCAAAGATAGTATTGAATTATAACAACATCATTTATATTAAAAGAATGATAATACTAAAACATTTTGCCATGCATCCCACTAATTAATTATGCAGTAAGTGTTTGTGGTGTTTTGTAAAGTTATAATTAAAAGTTTAGTAGAATATTTAAACCGTAACATATATAGGGATAGTTATATTAAATATCAAAACAATATAATGGAACTTGCTATATAATGAGTATTTTTGTGAAAGCTGGAAATAGAAAGGACTGAGCATGCTAGCTGGACGCACCTGTTGGTAGATTGTTTTCTTAAGATTGGTGTCCCAAAATTGCTGACGTTTCCCCCTATCTTGTAACAATTGAACGCTTTTAAGACATGGTGTATCGATTAGTCCTGGAGAGAATATTTTGAATTTTGGACAGTTTGTTATCATTAGTTGATCCAATAATGGAAACCTCAAAGTACAACTGTGGCTGCAAAATCTCTTCAGTCTTGGAAGCCGATAAAGTTTCAAAAACTCCAATTTGCCAAAAACAATTTCCCTGTTCTCATCATTCTCTCCTTCTGGCTTCGTGATAATTTCCTCTATTCTATTGCACTGACTAATTGAGAGATGCATGAGATGCACCAAGCTTCGAGCTATTGATGATGTTATCAAAGCGGTCAGCCATTGATTGCATTTCAAGTGGAGATGTGTGAGATTTGGTGAAGAAAGTAAGAATGCTCCCAAGTTTTTCAGAAAAATATCGCCGATAGTCAATTTTGAAAAAGGAGCAGCAAATGCAACAACATCGTCTCCTCCATAAGTGTCCCTCCTAATGCCACCCCACAGCTCCAGCTCATCTAGTTTTGGAAAGCTCTCCCACAATGATTTGTACGAAATTATTGTTGGTTCCACGAGCCTAAGATAAAGAATTTTTACTCTGGGGAAGCGGTACATTGGAAATTGGCCACTCCCAATCATCTCAGCTTCTTTGCCCCACAATCTTAACTCCTCCAAATTATCAACCTGTACAATACGTAAATTATAACTAAATGTAACAACTATTTAATAAATCAAAAGGCATATGTTATATTTTTAATGAGAGTGTCTTCAAATTTAAATTTTGAGGTACATATTCCATTAGCTTCAAATATTAATTATGGTAAATTAAAATGAATTACTCTTTTTCTAAATATTCGAGTGATAGGAAAAGTTCACATATTTAAATACTCAAAAATATCAAACTCAAGTGCTTTTTATAGGACATAGGTTTTAAAACAAAATAATCTGATGTTTCACTATTTATTTTAATGCGTTTTGCTCTTTTCTTAGCTTATTTTAATAATAAATAACCAATTAAGAGTTACTTTAGAAGTTTACCTTGTCATAGGACAGTAGAGGATATTTTGAGTCCAGTGTGCTTCCTTCCTCATGTATTTCTGATAAACTTGAACCTTGCTTTTCAAATATCTCTAGATTATCACAACTGCAGAAAAGTAATCGTTGAAGGTGTGAACATTCTATCATGTGTCTATGTGGATAGAAGTTCCTCAAGTTTGGAAGACCAGAAAGCTCAAGGGAAATCAGCTTAGGAAACTTAAATATAGTAGTAGCAGATTCTGAAACTTGATCCTTTGCAACAATCACATCTATACCACAATTAGCTATTCGAAGCTCTTCAAGATCACGAAGCATGTCTTTGGCTATGGATGAAGGAAACACACTTGTGAGGCTTTCACAAAAGGAAACATGTATGCTCCTAAGGCTTTGGAAGGAGGCATTTCCTTGGCGGTGATTCCTCCACACATTCTTTAATCTTGGCAATTTTTGTAGCATTAACCTTTTCAATGGCACAGACATGGATGATGGCACCATCTCATTATCATCATTTAAATCTTCAAAGTCAAACACCATCTCCAACAAGTCACAGTCCTTGACTTCCAATTCTTCCAAGCTGTTTAAAGATTTCAGCACATGAAGGGGCACCAATTTCTCAAAGCCACAACTTTTCACAATCAATGTTTTCAAGTTGCCAAATGAATTATCTGAAAGGTGGTCATCCCATATCCCTGGAATCAAAGGGTTTAAATTGGATAATTCCAATATCTCTAACTTTGGGAGTAACACCTGTTGAAAGAAAAATATGATTAAACAAGAATCACTTTTGGTCCATGAGCATCTTTGTCATGAAAGATTGTTTAAATGTCTAGATAAAGTTCTCATCTACTGCACAATATTTTTCAGGAGATTACTAAAAGTTCAATTTCAAATTTAAAGTTCATAGTCAAGTTTGAAGTTTTGCAGGAAGTCAAAACAAGAATAATTAAAATAATATGAACATACCTTTATTATTGAAAAGTGATTCGAAAATTTTGTTACACTGATTAAACATCAAAACCGTAGGCTACATTCCCATAAATATTCTGATGACGGGAATGGCAATTCATATATTAAAATAGTCAAAAACATCAAATTCACAAGTTTCCAGGTTGTAACACAAATAATTTGAGGCTTCGTTATTTATTTTAATACTTGAAGTTAGCTTTTCTCTTTTATTAGCTCATTTTAATTAATTAAAAAAACTGCAAACTTCCATAATAGCCTAATAGAAAGTAACGAATTTTATTGAAAATGATTTTTGCACATAGCTTTGGAGTTATGCGAGAAAAAAAAGTAAGGGGAAAATGTGAATAAAATAATCTGGGCATACCTTCTTGTTGAAAAGTGATGAGCAAATTTGATTGGATATGTTATTTGTTGCAGCCTCATGATGTGCTGAGTTGAAAACAACGTATTGAATATGAAGATGCCTTAAATGCGGAAATCTTCTTCCATCATAACCGTAAAGAACATTTGCAAGCCCGTTACATCCATATAAATACATATCTTCAACTCCTTCCAATAATTTTGGAAGCCCTCGCTTCAAATGGATACTACTCTCCAGTTCAAGTTTCAATATCTTCGAAGCTTCGTAATTGCCTAGCCATTCCCAATGCTTACCAATGAATATCTTGTATCTCTTCAAATTCATATCTAAGAACAAGTTCTCTGGCAACATAGAGGCATTGGGGATATGAATATCTAGAAAAGAGATTGGCAAATCCTTCAACTCGTCAAGACTTGCATTATCATTAGCTTCAGCAGATCCTTCAACTTTCCACAGGTTGAAGCTATTTCCCATGTGCAAAACCTCCAAATTTTTCAAGCTAGATAGGAGTTTTTGTGGAATCACTTTGAGTTTAGAGCAATGGGACAAATTCAACATTTGTAAAGAAGTCAACTCTGCCAATTCAATTGGTAGCTGTTGAATTTCAGAGTAAGCAAGACTTAGGACCTTTAAATTCTTCAACCTTCTGACCTCAGTTATATCTTCCAGCAAACAAGAGTGTAGACACAACGTTTTTAGCTTTTGTAGGAAACTGAGAGATGGTAGTAACAAAAAATGCACATTGGTAAATGCCAATACTTTCAGCTCCTTTGAAGATTTGAAAAACATGCTCGGTATGGTCAAATCAAGTTTTTTGCTATTTAGCAAAAAGAATTCCAATCGTGGACCATGTAACTCATTGGGAAAGTCACTAATGTCACTCTCTTGTAAGTAAATTCCCTTGTAGCGTTTTAGCATGTTTTCATCCGGCCATTCTTTCAAATTTCCATGCTTCACAATGAATGCACACAATTCCATGGACGATGCAATAGATAATGCAACATCTCGGATGACGTCATGCATTGTAAAATAATGACTAGAAAAGCTATCAAGAAATAAGCTCAATGATTTTAGCTTACTTACAATAGCAGAGATTCCAGCATGGGCTTCCTCCATGTTTTCTACTTGGTTAAGAACATCTAACCCCACAGAGTACATGAGGAGGTCTTCGATTGAGGGATCATGGGACAACATGGCAGCGAGCAAGAAAATATGTTTGTACTCTGATGAGCTTAGATGATTGTAGCTCAACTTCAAAATGGTATCCCCCTCTTTAGTTAATGTGTTGTTTCTCCTCATAGGATTATTCAATCGTGCAAGGGCATCTTTCCAATCATTTAGATCTTTATTCTTCAATGCCTTGGCAGCTGTAGCAATCACTAGCGGTAGGCCACCACACTTTCGGACAATCGCATTGGCTGTAGGTAACAACTCAGGACTACTTGAGTCAACAGAAAGCTCAGCAATCCTCTTGAACAACTCCCATGGTTCATCCTCTAACAAAACACCCACTTTGATAATTTCTTGACATTTCATGTCTTTTGACAGCAATATTTCATTCCTTGAAGTTAGTAAAATTTTGCAACCTTCAACAAAGGGAATTCCAACTTTGCCCAAATCAAGTTCCTCCCAAAGATCATCCAAAATTAGGAGCATATTCTTCTCTTGCTTCAACCTCGCACATAGACGAGCAGTTCTTACATCTTCAGCTTTTTCATTGAGTTGCAGACCCAACTTTTCAGCAATCTTGCCTTGAATCTTCTCAACATTCAGTTCTTTAGAAACAGTTGTCATGATCACCTTTTCAAACATCTTTTGATTCCTTGCTACCTCTTTAGCTATAGTGGTCTTGCCAACACCGCCCAGCCCGCACAATCCGATCATATTAACACTTGGATTCCGCAGTGCCTCCATAATTTGATTCATAATCGGCACTCTTGAACCAATACCTTCATTGCTTTCTCTGTTGGTTAATTGTGGCATCGACTGGGGAGGAACACGATATGAAACTGTGTTGAAGTTTCCGTTTCCACAAATTTCAACAACTTGTTGGGTCATTGCCTTTGCTCTTGCGCTCAACTTGGAGCGTAGCCATGGGTTGGGACATGAAGTTATACTGCACTCTCTTTTTGCTTGACTCTCTTTATGTAGCCGTTGTACTTGCTCTGATATCTCATTTACTTTGTGCGACCAACGAAGAACTTCCTCTTCAATTTCTTCTACATTATTTTTAGCCATATCTACTTGATGCTGTATGGAGTTCCTTTTAAGCGCGAGAGCCATAAGTTGTTCACTGAGCTCCTCAATGTTTCTGTGATAGTGAATGAGATAACGAAGCTGCTCACAAATTACGCCGAGCACGACGTCCCGAACCTTCTCAACCAAACCACAAGTAGGATCCATTTGTTTAGAGCTGATCTGTTAAAAAGACATAGCCAAAACTCAATTAACCCTTGGCTCGTTAATGCAGAAATGTTGGCAACGTCGAAAACAAAGTCTCACCTTTTCTCCTCTTGACTTAATGACGACGAAAATTTGATTTCTTCTTGTTTTTTGATCTCTTTTTTTGGCCCTGAAAATCAAAGCAAGAGTGAGATCCTACCATGACAATATTAAAAAATATATATATATATTTTTTACATCAAAATATGATCAAGATATTTTTTTTCTTTTTTTGGCAAACAGATATTCCATTGGAAGAATAGGGTTTTTTTGTCTTTTTTTTTTTTTTGGCTTTCATTTGGAATTCTAGAACACTTCAGCATGTAGGTTGAGTATGGGCACAGGCAAGCTTATAGCTGAAAAACAAGGGCATAAATTTATGCTTTTGGACATATTACCCAAATGTAAAGAGAACATTGCTTCTAATTTTTCCTCATAAATATTCTAAAGGAGGAGAATATTTTGCTGCAAAAGTTGAAAGTCAAATTTGAATAGAAACTTACAATAACGATGTGAAGCGTCGCAATCTGAGTCCGATCTACCAGCAGTAATCAGTTTTCCTTAGTGATCCAACACAAATCAACATGACCACCTTTTTCCTCTGTCTTTTTGTGATATTTTGAACAACTTTAAGAAGCAGATCTTCACACCCATCAGAGGTTTTCGCAGAAAGACTGATTTACAGACACAGACAGGAAATCAACATCACCTAAATAAGGAAAACAAAAAAGAAGATGAACTCAGAGAAAATAGAGCAGACGGAGTAACACACTTTTTTTACGACACGGGTAGTGACAAATTCAAAGTGCAGTTTTTTTCTTTTTGGATTTTTTCCTAGAAGAAATATCGAAAACCAGCAAAAGTAAAGCTGAAAATGATCACAATAAGGGAGAAGTGCCGGCAAAAAAATGCAAGAGACGAAAATTTTATATTTTTTAAAAAAGGGAATTACAGAAAGATGTTTAATAACAGGTTGAGAAATCAAGAAACACTGGAAGTAAGAAATGCGGTGAAATTATGAAGGAAGACCATGAGAACAAAGTCTCTGGTTTAGATTGGATTCAAGTCAATGCAGTTTGGTTCAGGCACGGTGAGGTTCCTAGTATTATTATTATTATTACTACTACTACTGGGAGGGAAAAACACGTTGTACGGTTTAGGAGAATTATTTGCGTGTCATTTTTTTAAAGAGTGTTGAAACTCTTTTTTAAACTACTGACTTAATTAGCTAATTTAAGAAAATAAAAAAATTTAAAAAATTATTTAATTACTGACATTCCGTTCTGAGTAAGCAATAAAATGGGCCTCGGTATTATTCACCAAGAAAAAAAATTATTATGTGTATTATTATATTATATATCAGTTTATAAACTAGACAAATTAATTTGTAAAAAAAATAAATATAATATTTTAAAATAATTTATTTATTTTTCTTAATCTCTTGAAATTAATTAACTAAATGTCGTGTTAAGGATAAACCTACTTAAATAACAAACGGGCTTTGACGGAAATCGCATACGCTCCTGGAGCAAGTGGGTTCCGCTTCGGGTGCCCCTTATGGTGGAAGCGCTGAGCGACTACAAGAAAAATAAACGGGACATGTTTACCGGATTGCTATGAACAATAAAATGAATTACCACAATTCTATATGAGAGAGAGAATTAATCAAAATACTACACTTTAAAATCATTCACCATATAAATGAAATTATTAGGATGAAGGGAGGAAGATTTAACATAAAAACTAACTCACTGTTACCTCCTTAATTGATTTTCTGACTTTGTAACGATAAACACCAAGTTTTTCTTGTTTGAAACTCTTGCACAATACGATAATATAAAAAATCCTTATCTCTTTGGATTTCTAATAAAAGGGTATTGAAGTCATTATATGAAATTTTAAAACTCCTTTTTGACTCATATAACCTAATTAGTGTTTTGACAAATTCAGTAACTCAAATAAGAATGAGTTATTCAAAAAAGATTTTAAGAGATTTTCCCATGAAAATAAAACAGATATTGATAAAAAGTGCCAATAAAAGGAGTAATAAGTTCAGTAAAGACAGTTTTCTTAAAAAGATTGATTTGAAGCACAAGACAGTGGCCAGCCACTCGAGGATTTAAATACAAGCATATCAGTAACCCACTTCCACGAGGTTGCCTCAAAGACTAGGGGTCAGGATTTTATTGTTTTTCGTTGTTTTTCCCCTTGTTTAGTTCGGTTTTTTTTTTCCCCCCCACAAAGAGAAACGTAGAAAAGAATGGATAAAATCACAAGTTGTTGCTTTGCTACGATCTTTTCAAGAAAATTCGCATGGATTAAAAAGATTAGTGAGTTGGTTGCATGTAAAGAAATGCATGCTAACTTTCTTAAAATATAATTTATTTCAATTATTTACATTGAAAAAAATTACAACATAGCTTATATCTCGTATGATAATTGCATAAAAAAATTATTTTAAGATACAATAGACTCTAGACGCTGATTGCAACTTATGTTTAAGTGATCTTACTTTTTACTTGGTACTTTAGGTGGCAAAATTGGGCTAAAAAGTTGGAGGAACCAATCTATTTTCTCACCTCAAAGCGTCGGGGAAGAAAAATGAGAAATCCAAAAATATCACTAGCTGCTCTTTTTAGCTAATACTCGTACTATATATTTTGGAAAACATCATTGCAATTTTAGAAGCATATGAAATTATTGGCCAAAAAAAAAAACAAAGGCAGAAAGGTATATGACATTTTTTAAAATATTAAAATCTTATAAAAGCATTAAACCCCCGCTTTTTGTTGGCCCAAAAAAAGTTAAAAAGAAAATATCCTCCAAATTACATGGTGAGACCCATATTTATTGCGGGTATTTAAATATTCCCTTTACTTTTGCACCCTCTTTCTTTTTACTCCCTCCGTTCCTTATTATAAGAGACGAATAACCGAATTACGTTGATAAAAAAGACAGTTAAAATTAGTTAAGAACAATCAATGTGTAAAAAATATAATTTTTTTTTCAAAAATGCCCTCATTAATAAGGAGAAAGAGCATGAGAGGGAACAATTAAATTATTGAAAAAAAGAGAAGTGGGAGGGAGAGAGAGTGTGAGTTGGAGACAATAAATATGGGTAAAATAGGAAATCAACACAAAAAAGTAGAGACAACTTTTAAGTGTCTCTTATATATAGGAACATGTCATAAGTATCAAATGTCTCTTATAATAAGGAACGGAGGGAGTAATTTAATTTTCTCTCTCTTCATAATCAAACTTCCTCCACTTTAATAAGTTTATGACTTTTAAGTTTTATCTCTCTATTTTAATTTTGCATAATCTCACCCTCTCTCTTCATTTTCAATTTTATTTACTCTCATTTAAATACTATTAGTGCATTTTAAGCTTTAACTGGAGTTAGAAAATAGCATTACTAAGGACATTAAAATGCAGAAGGTTTACATTTTAAACCAAAAATAAGAGACAATGAAATACTTTTGTAAACATAAGCTATCGTTAGTAAAATCCTTATTTACTATCTCTTACCCTATTTATAAAATCCTATTTATAGATTACAAATAAAATCTTATAACTAGAATTTGAGATAATACAAATTATATCTTATAAGTAGGACCAGAAATAGTATTTCATAATTTCATCAACAGGTTTCATCAGAATTTCATGAAATCCATTTTACGCTCTCAATTCATATATAACATTTCGAGGAGTTTGTTGAAACTGTTAAAAAAAAAATCCTGATTTACGTACGAGATGATGTATTTATAACTTGAAACTAACATTGTTTTCTTACGACCAATTCATTAAGCGAATACAAAACAAACTTACGAAAGTATTAAAGGAAATATAAAATGTAATGACGTCCCATTTATTTTGTACTTAATTAGAAAGAATTCTTTTTATTTTAAAAAATGTATAAACTTATAAAATTGAAATTTGCACAAAACAAACCGTCTTTATATTTTTAAGATTATATTTTCGCTCAACATAATATTAATTGCACATTTTGGACCAAAATATTTCTCTTTAATGAAAACTTTCAAATTTTTCTGGAAATATTTTTAATGATGTTAAAAATGGAACCAAGAGGTAAAAAGATACTTTTTACAAAAAAAATAATTATTTAGTCTATATCTATATGCTAAATTATATTTTTAGTCCTTTAACTTTACACAATATTTCATTTTGGTCTCTTAACTTCAAAAAGTGAACTTATAGTCTCTAACACTAAAATTGGTAATAAAAAATGATGATATTGAACTCTTTAATGTTGATAAAAGATTACTAAATGCTAATATATTAAGTTTCATTTTCAAAACAATGGTTGTTAAAAAAAAATCATCATTTAAAACTAACAATTTTAGGATTAAAGAGCTAAAAGTATACTTTTTAAAGTTAAGGAACCAAACTAAAACATTATATAAAGTTAAATCACCAAATATATATATATATATATATATAAAAGGAAAGCCTTATATATTTTTTTGGTTAGAAAACCCGTTATATTTTACTTAAAAAAACATATGAGAGAGTATCTTCAAAACCAACAGACATCATGTAAACCTGAGGGAGCCACACCTATATTTAAATGAGAACTTTGAAAAAAAAATTCAAATATTCAAACGAGCGAGCCACACCTTAGGTATCTTTACTATGGCTGTAACACGTTCCTTCTTCTTCTTGCTGCCGCTCCCTGTATTCAGAAACACAGGAATATGCTGCAAAAGTTGCAACACAATTGAACTTTGTAAATACAGATCAATTAAACAGAGCCGGAGTTTGGCATGAATCCATATTTTCAAGCTTACAATAGTGGGCGATGTGAAACTTTGCAATTTCAAGCTGTATGATCCTTAGATCTCCCAACAGTAATTAGCTTCCCTCAGTGTTCCAATATGGAGATCAAGCATGAGAGAGCTCTTTTTTTTCTTTTTTTTTTCTTTTTATGGTGTTTTGGACAACTTTAAGAAACTGATGCTTCACAAAATCCAAGACAACTATAAAATCTGAAAGTTTTCGAAGAAAGATGATGAACTTGTGAAATCAAACAGGAAAAACAACATCATCAACTAAGCAATAAAAATACAAGAAAAGCGTCGAACTCACCAAAAATAAAATCACCGCGAATAACAAGTCTTTTTTTTTTTTCCTTTAGATATGAGCCATCACAAATTGAAAGAGCACTTTTTTTAAAAAAATTATTTTTGGGATTTTTTCTTCTTGAAGAAAGATCACAAAACCAGCAAAATAAAGTTAAAAATGATCACAACAACAGAGAATTAAAGTGCCAGCCAAAAAAAAAAATGCAAAAACCAGTAAATTCAGGATTTTTTTTCTTTTTCCGAGAAAAGACAAAGGAAAAAGGGAATCAGAAAGTCGAAATATATAACTCAAAGGAAACTGCAGAGATGACGAAGTGAAAGAAGAAGCTGAGAAAGCAGTAGAAATTAGCAGAAGGGAGAAAGTAGGAGATCTGTGAAACTATGGAGGAGGAGGAGGAGAAGCATATCTGAAGCCTTATTTGGGAGGAGTGGCTGTAAAGGATCCAGTTTAGATAGGATTCAAGTCAATGCAACTTGGTCAATGCTTTGGGGTTTCCATTATTGGGATAATGCATGACAATTTATGACCTTCTACAACAAGTTAATATCGCCACTGAAATTTTCAAACTCCTCATGTTTAAATTCCTCATATTTAGTACTTTTTGTTTTTTAAAAAAAAATCCCATTTTAACATTAACTTTTTTTATAAACTATTGCCATTCTCCATGGTGACCTCCTGATGTACTTATCAAGGGAAAAATGAAAAGCAACTAACTTACTTCGAACATAATGATATATAAGCACGTCTAGTTTGTAAAATTATATACAACGGCCAGGTTCCTATAAATTAAAGAAAACTAAAAATGCCTTTATGAGATCAGAAACATAATTTAATGATAGAAAATCAGAAAACTTGTAAAATTAAAAAAAAAACTGTTAAAATAAAAAAATAACTCAAAAAAAAAAAAGAAAAGGAATAAGCTTGAGGCACTACTTTGTTGTCCGGTTTCCATGCAACTTCAGACCTTCCTGAGCGAATTGCAGCTATTTTTAAGTATGAAGGACCACAACGAGGCACGTGTCAATCATAATATAATAATAAAATTCTTATTGATCCAATGAGCTGTGTGGGGGACCAACTTTGAATTTTCGCCGAAGAGACTTATTGAAGTGGGCCAAAATTACAATATTGATTGAAAAAAGGAACAGGATGATCATCACGGCCCTTGTTTTCACTGTCATCTCGTTGCCAAGTAATTATATATGAATTCATTTGGTTGTAGATTTTTATTTATTGGGCCCACCACCACGTAATTAATAATATTAACAGATGCTAACCCAAGTTTGTGGTAATATAAATGGGTTGACAAAAATATATATTTAGTCTTTTAATCTTAAAATTATTAGGTTTAAATGATGCATTCTGTTAACAATCATAACTCTTATAAAAATTAAACTTAATATGTCTTGGAGAATGTTTTATCAATATTTAAGATTATTTTAATTGTTATTATTTTATGTTAACAATTTAGAATTAAAAGACTAAAAGCACACTTTTCAAAATTAAGAGATCATGCTTAAATTTATATAAAGTTGAAGGATTAACAACATACTTTTACCTACTAATGATTTTCTTATGAGATAATTTTTTAATAATTCTGAAATAATAAATATTATTAAGATTGATTATCTTTTTATCTTGAAGTCACTTTTGCTTCAAAGACTATTAAAGCTTGAGGTCAAGACTCCATTCCTTTTCATTGCCATTCCCTCCATTCAGTCTGGCTTTTCTAAGAGAAGATAATAAAGAATGGCGCGTGAACTATGGAGTCTGAAAGTGACAAAAGTAGCGTGTGGGTCCGCCAAATGTTAGGGATAAAGTTTAGGAGAAGACTGAGAGAAGACTTCCTATTGCACAACTTGGACTCACATTAGCGGGGGCCAGCTACTTATATGCTTCGTTACTATAATCAGAATTTAGTTATCCAATGTTTAAACCTTCAATGCGTTGTAGTATAGCCGGTTAGGATACTCGAATCTCACCTAAGAGACCCGGGTTTCCTTCTCGGCAATGGAAAGTTTTTGTTTTGTTGTGTTTCAGACTTTCAACTACCAATAGAGATGTTCACGGGATAGGACGAAACTGAGATGACCTCATCCTGTATTTCGTTTGTGTTTCAGACTTTCAACTACCAATAAAGATGTTCATGAGACAGGATGAAACTGATACAACCTTGTACTGAATTTCATTTGTGTTTCACACTTTCAACTACTAATACTAATAGGAATGTTCACGGGACAGGACAGAAGTGGGAAGACCCCGTCCCGTGTCTCCCAACATTAATCAGCTTTCCTCAGTGTTCCAACACAGATCAAACCATGAGAGCTCCTTTTTGCGGTGTTTTGAACATCTTTCACATGCAGATGCTTCACAAGAATCGAAGACAACTATAAAATCTGAAAGTTTTCAAAGAAAGATGATGAGCTTGTGAAATCAGACAAGGAAAACAACATCAACTAGACTAGTCTTTTTTGTTTTTTGAGAGATATATGAGCTGTCACAAATTGAAAAGGGCAGGTTTTTTAATTATTTTTTGGGATTTTTTCTTCTTGAGGAAAAATAAAGTTAAAAGTATTCGAAACAACAAAGAAGTGCCCGCGAAATATGCAAAACGAGGAAATTCAGATTTGTTTTTAAAGAATTTTTTAAGAAAACAGAAATCAGGAAATTTAAGCAAAACAAAGTGCCAAAAAGACGTTACAGAACAAGCTGAGAAATTAAGAAATAATGAAGAAGGAAATACTAGGGAGTGATATGAAAAATGAAACTATGGAAGAAGACTCAAGTGCAAGCGACAGTTGCAAAAGCAGTAAATTCAGGATTTTTTTTTTTTTGGTCCAGAAAAGAGAAAGGAAAAAGGGAATCAAAAAGTGGTAATATATAACACAATAGAAACTGCAGAGATGATGAAGTAAAAGAAGAAGCCAAGAAAGCAGTAGAAATTAGCAGAAGAAAGAAAGTAGGAGATTTGTAAAACTACAGAGTAGAAGAAGAAGAAAAAGAAGATCTGAGGCTTTAGTTGGGAGTAGTGACTGCAAAATCTCTGGTTTAGACAGCATTCAAGTCAATGCAGTTTGGTTCAGACACCATGGGGTTGCTAGTAAATTAAATAACTGAATTTCATATTGAGAATCAATCCTACTTAAATAACAAAAGGGCATCGATGGATGATCGGGTGAGACACGGGTCAGGGATGTTAGCTTTTGTTGGTATTGTCTTTTCTTGATTCAGGTCTTGGGTTTCCCTACTACCACAGGGAAAACAAGAGAAAAGAACAAAACAAAAACAAAAAAGCATCGACGGAAATCACACGTGCTCCTGGAGCAAGTGAGTTCCACTTCGGGGACGCTCTGTGGTTGAAATTACGAAGAACTCGTTATTCATCAAAACTCGTTTCTGCATTATATACATATGTTTTCCCAATTTAATTTTGTTTGTCAGTTTTCTTAACTTAATTTTAATTTCTCATATTTAAATAATAATTGGGAAAACGATATTGGAGGTACCTATACTTTCTCTTAATTTTTAATTTCGTACCTATATATTTTTTCTCTTAATTAAATCTTTTAATTTTATTTTTTAGCAATATTAGCTCTTGTAACTTTGTTCTATTGGCATTTTTAGTCTTTATGTATGGGTTAACAATATTAATAGAGCAAATTAAAGATTTAATTAAGAGAAAAAAACTAAGAAAAAAAAGGACCGGATTCTAAATCAGTTGAAATAGTGATTTAAAGGTCAATGGGTCAAATCCGGGTTAACTCATAATCAAACTGGCGATATTAAAATAATATAATTTAAATAAAAAATAAAATAGAACAATATTAATTATCATTAATAATAAAATACAAGAAAATACAATAATAGTTTGATTATAATAATAACAAAATATAACAATATTAAAAATTTTGATATTTACGATTCGTCAATAACTAAAATTATTTTAAGAGATAATGTTTTAATACCGATCGTCCTGCTTACTTTTATTATTCGTGAAGAATTTAATCAATGGTTATTATCTTGGAGCCGCTCATCGTGTCGGTCCCTTCAACATAATCAAATGTGGCAGTGCGGCGTTTTCTCTGTGTTTTTGGGAAAAAACCAGCGGCGGAGCATTTTTCTAGGTACTAAGCATTTTCACTTTGATATGTTCAATAATTGAAAGTATCGGATCCAAAAAGACAAATAACTGGGATCAAACGCACAAACTAAAATTAATTAGAACAAAATATAATTAGGTCTCAAAATATCAATTTAAATCATGTGTAAATTTCAATTTGCAATTGAGATTCTTATTTTTAAGGGTTTGAACTGATATTTAAAAATTATTTTTTAAAAAATTATTTACAATACCAACTTCTTAGTTTATAGTATATACTACCTCCAATCCTTAATATGAGAGCTAGTTAATTAATTTAAATAGATTAATAAAATTAGTTATGTTAGTTATTTATAGTAAATATATATTGTCTTTCTTAAAATATCTTTACAAACAAACTAAACAGAAATACATGGTAAGAGCAAAAAAGAAATGCATAGCTTCTATCCATAAACTTTCAAATTAAACGACTTGAGAGTCACAATAACATGAAGAAAATTAACTTACATATTTGCGTTATATATATATAATACTCCCAAGAAACAATCGATTTTAGAGGCTATGTGATTTCATGGGTCAAATTCTAAAGATCCTTTTATATATGGACATCCGCGTTATAATGATATTTTTAGCAGTATGTATACGAAGCTATTAAGCAGTTAATATTGCTGGCTTATTCCTTTCTTTCTTTCTTTCTTTCTTTCTTTCTTTTTGGTTCAAACTTTTTTGGTCCAACTTATTCTTTTCTTTTCATTATATTCTTCCAAAATTATGATAAACTAATCAAGTCGATCTATCATCCACTTCTTTTAATCCCATAAATTAATCTTCTGATATTTACATATACCACCATAGCTATTTATCTTCACTGTTCAAGTTCGATGCAAGAACTCCATTAATTAAAATGTCATCAGGCATGCCTATGGATCAATTTACATGTGGAGGCCATTATCCTTGATTCCAATTAAGTCTAAACATATGTTGACAAAAGTGTATTATTGCATCGTATTGATTGAAGTTTGTATAATTTAAATTTTAAAAAACATTTTTTTTGTTTTTATAAACATCAAAGTAAAAAAACGTATTCAAGTACGTGACTTTTATTTACTTCTTTAAACTTAATATTTATATTTTTTTTGTATTGATGGAATAGATAAACAAAAATATCTATAACAAAAGTAAAAAAAAAAAGAAGCATATATATCCAAGGAGGGGAGAGACGAGACTGTCCCACGCCCCGTCCCATCCTGTTCCGACTTTATTTTATCTTATCCTGCTTTTGTCCTGTTCCAATCAGGACACTATGAGATTTGTCTCTCCTTTTGCAGTGGCATGTCTTTTTACTCCTGGATATAACTTGTTTGCATCATTTGTTGATGTGAATACAATTGAGTTGATGTGGAAAATTTTACTTTGAGATAAAATTAGGCTTAATAACAGATACATAATAAAGTAGAAAGACTCATAAATTTGAGTCATAACCTGAGTTAAAATATTGTTTCATTCACTCTTGCTTGTGTATTTGTTCTCTCCCTCCATTTTTGGGCTTGGCTCTCACTTTACAACATTATTCATAAAAAAATTAATTAATAGTTGTGAATAATCTTTGAGCACCTCATTGTGTCAGTCATTTCCAGTATCAAATAAAGCAGTTGAGCATTTGTTTGTGCTTTTTTCAAAGCAGGAGTGAAGCATCTTTCACGTACATTGCATCTTAACTTTTGATAATGTTCAATAATTGAGGGTATCGAATCCAACAGACAAAAGCACATTCCATGTTCATCATAATGATGAGCTTGTTCATCTTAATTTAAACCATCCAAATTTATTTTGAATGGTCCAGATTGAATTTAAATTTGTATATATTTTAATTAATTTTTTGTTTTAATAAATACAGAATTCAAAATAAAGATAATCTTATAACTAACAATTGTTTAAAAGAATAAATTTGTCATTAAAAAAAGTGCACATTAAAAATTTTAAATCTAAATCATCTATGTCAGAGTTTGGATAGTTTGAATTGCATTACAGCAATGAGCACATGGTACTTATCATTGTGAAGAGCACTGAATAAGGACCTGAATTTAAGGGCATTTGGCGAATGCATTAGATAATTTTATTTCATAATTTGCTTATGAACAACATTTCCCGAAGTTGTGGCTCTGCTTTCACGATTAAATGCCATTATATATATAGCAAGCAGCTTGCACTGGCACTTGTATCCCACCCATGGCGATTCAAGGAGCAAAACCAAGTATAACTATGTAGTCAATAACTTTCATTTATTGGCCTTTAAACAACGTAAGAATTACAATAACACAATGAGAGTTAGCTTACATAATCACATAATATATAACCCTTGAAGGTTATGCATTAATAATAGAAAACTCTCATGAAATAATTGATTTTGCAGATTATGTGATTTTATGCGTAGAACTCTAAAAGCCCTTTCTGTAGAAGTTAAGGATCTCCTGTATATTATTCTTCAACCATAGCGTAGCTACTTATTTTGATTCTTTTACTTGTATTTGCTGTTAAGGATCGGTATTAGGTATTTCATGTAAAAATGAAATTAAAAAAGCCACCAATGTGAATGAATATGTAGAAATTCTAAAATGAAATCCATTGAAGCCTATCGTTACATTGATTTTTGGTAATAAATGATAAATCCCATTTTAGAGAGGTGAAACAGAATTATTAAAAGCAGGTAAAAAGAATGAGATAGAGTCGAGTGGAAAAAATAACAGGCCAGCGGATCAAACCCTTCGATATGGTTTCAATAACAGACCAAGGCTCCGACAATCATATATGACAAACAACACTTCGAAGTTTCCATTAGCGGTCAATCAATAATTCTGAAACTTTTGTAATCCAATTGGCACAAGTATGGGATTGTGAGTTTTAACCATTGATTGGAGGGTTTGATGGGGATGATGGGGGTGTAAGTTATAGATTAAAAAAAAAAAAGTCGAAGAAAAACTATTTTAGAGTTGTTTTTCCTTAATTTTTTATTTGGTGCCTATGCAATTTTCCCCCTCTTAGTTATCCTCTAACTTTGCTCCCACCGTTATCCTGGTAACTTTGATCTCTTAGTACAGTTAGCCCCTAAAGTAAAATTAAAGAATTCAATTAAGAGAGAAAAACATACAGGTATTAAATTAAAAATTATGAGAAAATATATGTATTTGCAAAATAATTTTCCCCTTGTTCTTATTTTCCCCCAACAATTTTCCCTTATTCTAAAACTTTACCTACGTACACTTTATTATTTATGCTTTTGTAAAACTCGAGTGTATTCTAATCCAAAATATATAGTAGTACAAAACATCAAATACTGTGATAAAACAAACTAGGAAAAAAAAAAAAGATCCATCGTCTGCCGCACCATTATAAAAGTTAAAAAAAAAACAAAAACAAGGCAACATCCTCTGCGCCATTCAGAGATCATAACAAGTCAACAACCCAATGAAATTGATGGCCCTGAACCTTCCAACGAATTTCCTACCATCTTGAACGATCAAGACCTTAGTTTCAGACCTCAGAACATAGCTTCACCACTGCGATTGTTGCAGCCATATGTATGGCGATTCAAGTGGCTTCACCATCATCCCTTAGCTTCACCAGCAAAACTAAGTATAGATATGATGTTTTCCTGAGTTTCAGAGGTGAAGATACTCGCCACGCCTTCACTGTGCCTCTTTACAATTCTCTACGACGTAAGGGGATCAACGCCTTCATTGATGACAAGAAGCTTGGGAAAGGGGAACGAATCGCACCTGCACTTATCAAAGCCATTGAGAGATCAAGGATTTCCATTATTGTCTTCTCTACAAACTATGCTACTTCCACATGGTGCCTAGAGGAACTCGCCCACATCATCTGGTGCAAGAAACAGAAGAATCAATTGCTTATGCCCATATTTTACAAAGTGGATTTGTTGGATGTTCAATATCAGAGAAATAGCTTTGAAGAAGCCATGGCTGCTCTTGAAGATAGGTATAGAGATGACTTAGAGAAAGTGTGCGAATGGCGTTCTGCTTTGTTCGAAGCTGCTAGTTTATCATCAGCATGGCTTTTCAAGGACGGGTAGGTTTGTTTGCACCATTAGTGCCTTCCGCTGATGAAATTTATTAATTCTTTGTTAGTACTTAATAGTTGCAGACAATATAGCACACAAAGGTCAATCTCTGCATACTTGGCTCTCAAGAGTTTTTATTATGGGTATTTAAAGTTTAATTTTGGACTTTGTTTTATTCTTTGGAATTTACATCTTTCAGCCTGAGTCTTTTGGATTTACTTAAACGGTGTCATTTGAGCAGAAAATATTTCATAGGTTTACAATTGGAACTGAAAGACTTTTAGATAGAGATGGGATTACAAAATTCAGAGACCTTATTGATGTTGGAATTACATGATTATTCACTTCTCTTTCTCTCTACTTTAATTTTCTTTTTTTAAGAATTGAAACAATATTTTATTGATAACTATGTATTAAAAAGAGGAAAGAAATACAGCAGAAGACATTATGCGCAGATAAATAATCTTCATAGTGAAAAGGAAATATGCTCTTTTGCAGATGTGAATATGGATTTATTGAAAGGATCGTGGAACATGCATATTCTATGCTGCCACCTAAACGCTTCCATAACGTTGATTACATCGTTGGACTTGAGCCTCGGATAGAAGAAGTGATCTCACTTATAAATAAATCTGACAAAGGCGTCTGCATGTTGGGAATTCATGGAACTGGCGGAATTGGCAAAGCAACCCTTGCAAAAGCTCTCTATTATTCAATCTTCTATCATTTTGAAGGTGCTTGTTTTTTGTTTGATGTCAGAGAAGTATCAAAGAAGTATCAGGGCGTTGTTCGCCTTCAACAAACACTTCTATCAGAAATTCTTGAGGAAAAGAAGATGAAGTTTTGCAGTGTTGACGAAGGGAAATCTATAATTAAACATAGACTCTCTAACAAAAAGGTGTTATTGGTTCTTGACGATGTTGATGAGTTTGAACAGTTAGAACGACTTGCAGGCGGCTGTGAGTGGTTTGGTTGTGGAAGCAAAATCATTATAACAACAAGAAATAAGCAATTGCTAATTGCACGAAATGTTGAGAAAGCATATGAAATGAAGGAGCTAAATCATCTTTACTCTCTTGAACTCTTTTGTTGGCATGCCTTTCGCATGATACAACCTGCAAGTGACTATACACATATGTGCAATCATGTTGTAAGATATGTACATGGCCTTCCTCTAGCCTTGAAATTAGTAGGTTCCAATTTGGCACATAAAACCTTAGAGGAATGGAGATCTATGTTGGAGAAGTATAAAAGAATCCCTGAAAGAACTATCCATGAGGTTCTCAAGATAAGCTATGATTGCTTACAAGATGGTGCTAAGCGTGTTTTCCTAGACATTGCTTGTTTCTTTAAAAGGAAGACATTAGAATCCATTGAAGACGTACTAGAAGCCTGTGATGATGGGGCAAGGTTTTACATCGAAATTCTTGTTGATAAATCCTTGATAACTATTGATGAAGTTAACAATCGCCTGTACATGCATGATCTAATACAACAAATGGCGATAGAGATTGTTAGACAAGAGGCACCATCAAATCCTGGTCAATGCAGTAGATTATGGTATTATAAAGATGTTCTTAAAGTACTACGTGAAAACTTAGTAAGACTCTTTTCTATTTGCTTGTATTTATATTATAAAATCGTACATGTATATTGTCATATGCATCAAATTTATTTTGCTAATTTGGCAATATCTAACAATGTCACTTCCTCAAACTTGCATTACAGGGAAGCGATAATATTGAAGGAATAATACTTGATCCACCATATCAAGAAGTGGTGTGGGATGGTATAGCTTTTGAGAAGATGAATAATCTCAAGATTCTCATCATTCGAAATACTCTGTTTTTAGCAAGTCCTAAATATTTTCCAGATAGTTTAAGATTACTAGATTGGAATGGATTTCCTTCAACCACTTTACCACCGGAATTTTCACCTTCGAAACTAATCTGCTTGAAGTTATATGGAAGCCCTTTCAGATTAGAAAAGCCATTCAAGGTACTCCACCCCCACCCCATTTCGTTATTATTTGGTCTAATATCTTTAGCTATAATTTTCAGCCGAGAAACAAGGATCAACTATAATTTAAGTTTCTTCTATTTTTTGTAAAAATTCGCACAGATCTCCTTGTATTTTTTATTTATTTTCTCAAATTTTTTTATTTCTCTTATAGGCAAAGGTACATCTCTAGTCCTTTAACTCTACATAATATTTTATTTTGATTCTTTAATTTTATAAATTTTATTTTCTGCCCTCCAACTCTAATACTATTAATTTTATTAAGGAAAAAAAAAGGCTGATATTGAGATTTTTAATATTGACTAAACATCTCTAATGTTGACATATTTAGTATACTTCTTTTAAAGGGACAATGATTGACACGAAATATCATCATTTGAGACTAATTATGTTAAGGTTAAAAAACTAAAAAGATACCTTTTAAAATTAAGAGACCAAATTGAAACTTGCATAAAGTTAAAGGACTAAATGTATACTTTTATCTTATATATATTCTTTTAAAACATATATATTTGTCTTTCTACCACAAAAGGCATGTGCATATACGTACATCCATTTCTATAAATGAACATGATTATAAAAGCGATTATATTAATATGGTATTAATTAAGTTTTCGAGAGACTGACAATTGAAGATCTTTTCTAGCCATGAATTTCAATTGCAAACCTCCAATTATTGAAACTTCGACGGAGAATGATGGTCTTTATTTGGAATTAAAAACAACCGTGTTGACAAAATTGCTCTTATGAATTGTATGCATCATTACAAATGAGTTACTTGGAATTCACAACTGAAGCTATGCATTTTCGATGGTCCAAAGTTAGCCCCGTTCCTAGGTAGTTTAGTTGGTTTTCACAAGTGGGTTACCTGGTGGATATCACGAGTAATGCTATAAATTAAAATTAATGACTTAACAGGATCTAGCTTTTCATTTTCTCTAGCGTTTTATATTAATCTATCGTGATTGGAACATTTTACAGAGAAAATAGAACAATAGGCTTTATCCAAATACTTACAAGATTTTATTTTGCAGAGGTTTGAATACGTGACATATTTGAATTTCTCAAAGTGCGAATTCATTACTGAAGTACCTGATATGTCTGAATTTCAAAATTTGAAAACATTGATCTTCAGTAAGTGTCACAATCTGACCAAAGTTCATGATTCGGTGGGATCTCTCTGTAAGCTCGAAAGGTTAGATGTTAGTGAATGCCGAATACTTACAAGCTTTCCACATGAAATCAACATGGCATCTCTTGGACGCCTTTACCTCGATTTTTGCGAGAGTCTTGACTACTTCCCACGCACAGTAGGAAAGATGGAAAAACTAACCATGGTTTCTGCAGTAAGGACTGCTATTAAAGAGCTCCCACCTTCAATTGGAAATCTTCCAGAGCTGTATCATTTAGATTTAAAATCCTGCACAAGTCTTAGGGAGCTTCCAAGTAGCTTAGTGACATTGCCAAATCTTGGGCATCTTCACTTGGAAGATATTCATCCTCTAGGTGGAGAATCTTTGAAGAAAGTGATGGTACAGAGCCAACCAGTTATTAGCTGTGAAAACATAGAAAGGTTGAATCTCAGTGGTTGTGGGCTATTGGATGAAGATCTTCACCGTATTCTGAAACGTTTTCAAAATGTGGAAGACTTGGAACTGTCGCAGAATGATTTTGTGTCACTTCCTGAGTGCATTAAAGAGTGTGCTTATTTGGGGACTCTAGATCTGAGTAACTGCAAGAGGCTAAGAGATATACCGGAGCTGCCATCAACGTTGTGGGACATAAGTGCAGAGTACTGCACATCATTAACTGCGGAGTCGATAGGCCGTTTATGGTCTCAGGTATTTCTCATGCTTCTATTTTTTTTTCCCCTTTTTTCTTTTGCTATGAGTGTGACTGGTAAGATAGTTATTAGTGAACAGTCTCGCAAGTGTTAAATTACCTAAAGTATTCTTTTTTTTTTTTTTGATACACAAGAGACAAAACAAAACTAACTAAAAGTGGCAGCCTCCACGATGTAATCCTTCATTACTAACTCACGCAACTCCTCAGTCATGAATGAGAATAAATGCAAACCAGGGGCGGTCCTTAGCGCCTTCTTGGCTAGATGATCGGCTACCTCATTAGTTGATCTCGGAATGAGACCCAGATCCACCTCCCAAGAGGGATCAACCAAAGAGCGAGCTTCAGAAATCAACTGGAGAAGATGATGGTCCTTATCTGAAGAATGATACAACAAGCGAATCACTTCAGAGGCATCAGTTTCGACGATCACCTTCCTAAACCCAACGTCCCACGTCATTTTCAGGCCACACACCAGAGCCCACAGCTCAGCAGCCAGGCTATCCCCGTCGTTAGGATGGAACATAAAGCCGCTGATGAAGGAACCCACATGATTCCGCAAAATCCCTCCACAGCCGGCTCCATGCAGCGTGGAGAAGGCACCATCAACATTCAGTTTAACCCAACCTGGTGGAGGGGGGGACCATTTAATACCCTGTACCGTGACACGGTGACCATTGAGATTACTGCCTCTGAGTTTAGTTGCAGCGTGTTTCAGGTTTGAGAGAATGTGCCTTGCCTTGGCTATCAGCATTGCATTCGGGGTCCACTTGCCTTCGAAAATTCTCTCGTTCCTACGCGACCAAAGGAGCCAGCAAATAGTGGCAAAAAACTCACTCCAACCGTCGCCGAAGGAGCCCCCGGGGTTCCGTATATTGAATTCTAGCCAATCCGTTAACTCGAGGGAGAAGAACCTGTCCAACAAGCGGGGTTTGACCATGGAAGACCAAAGGCATCTAGTGTCGTCACAGTCCCGAAGAACATGAAGCAAACTCTCGCAATGAGAGCCGCACCACGTGCAGATTGGGGTCGTCACCATACCTCTTTCCGCTCGAGCTTGATTCGTCAAAAGTTTATTGTGGAGGGAAAGCCACATGAATGTCTTGCACCGTTGAAGGACTTGGAGTTTCCAAATTTTACTCCATATCGGGTTCGGAACCTGCTGGTCCTGTGTAATGATAGAATAAGCTGACTTAATAGAAAAGACACCGTTCCTGTCGTATCGCCAACGTGCTTCAATATTGCCCTGAGTTGCCTGAACCCCCTCCTGAACATATTTCCAAGCGTCCTTAATGCCTTTCCAGATGTTCGAACCGGGTCTCTCGTGAGCTATAGTGGGTATCAAATCAGACCCACATCTATATTTGGTTCTAATTACCTTAACCCAAAGAGCATCCCGACGATTGATGAGGTTCCAACCCAGTTTAGCCATGTAGGCTTGGTTCTGGTGGCGTAACTGCTTAAGACCGAGACCTCCGTTCTTCTTCGGAGTGCAAACCTTATCCCAAGCTACCAGATGCGATTTCCTATGACCTTCGGAGGACCCCCATATGAAACACCTATTATGTTTCTCCACCGCTTCACACGTGGTTATAGGCAGGGAGGCAGTTTGCATAGAATATTCTGGAATAGCTGACGTTACGGAAGATGCCAGAGTGATCCTGCCTGCTAAAGAAAGAGAGTTAGCCTTCCAGTTGGACAGTCTCTGTTTCACCTTGTCTACCACCTCTTGATAACTACTTTTAGAGACTCTTCTAAAATGGAGTGGGGCTCCCAAATACTTGCCGAGATCTGCCGCAAGTTGAAAACCGAGGATGTTGCTTACTTCGGACCTCCGGGTATGGTTCACATTCCTGGAGAAAGAGACTCGGGTTTTACGCACGTTAACTTTCAGACCTGAGCGGCTACAGAACTCTTCGAGGCAAGAGTGAATGACCGCTGCTTGATGAATGGACACTTCTGAAAATAAGATAATATCATCAGCAAAAAATAAGTGAGATAGAGGAAGGCCTTACTTACACAGCGAGATTGGGATCCATTCGTTCTTGTTCACCCTCTCTTGAATCATGTGGGCTAGTTTCTCCATACATATCACAAAGAGATATGGGGAGATAGGATCCCCTTGCCGGACCCCTCTGGTGGGTTTGAATTCTTCCGTCTTCTCCCCATTCCAAAGAAGTTGCATTTTAGCTGACGATATGCAATGGGATATGATCTGGGTAACATGAGTAGGAATTTGCATCTCGTTGAGACAGTTAATGAGGAAGTTCCAGTTTACTCTGTCATATGCTTTCTCAAGGTCGATTTTAATAGCCATGAATCCCTTATATCCCTGTTTGGTTCGCATGGAGTGCACCACTTCCTGGGCCACAATAATGTTATCCGAGCTATGACGACTAGGAATGAAACTGCACTGAGTGGGACTAATCATATAAGACAAGCAAGGCTTGAGTCGATTGGCTATGATTTTAGTGATAATTTTAAAAATGACGTTGCACAGCCCAATAGGTCGGAGGTCTTTCAACGTTTCTGGGTGATCAACTTTCGGTATGAGTACAAGATAAGTATCATTAATATCAGCAATACCATCCGTATTTCTCCACACATGTTTGATAAAAGAACAGATAGAAGCTCCCACATGGTCCCATTGGCTCTGGTAGAATAGAGGATTGAGCCCGTCCGGTCCCGGTGCTTTGAGCGCCCCCATGGAAAATAAAGCTTCCTTGATTTCAGCGTCTCCCACTTCTCTTACCATTCTAGTCTGATCCTCCTCCTTCAAGGGTGGATATGTAATTGAGCAAGTAATAGGCTCTCTAGTGGGTTGGTCTTCCGTGAACAGATGAGAGAAGAAAGCGGTGGCCATTGACTTTATACTTTCAGCATTATAAACCCATTCACCAAGTTCATTCTTGATTGCCCCAATGAAATTACGCTTGCGCCTGTTATTTGCTCGGTTGTGATAGTACTTAGTATTTTTATCTCCATAGATCTACCAATCACTCCTAGCTTTCTGAGCCCAGATAAGTGATTCTTGTAGGAGTACTTCGTCGAGCTCCTTTCCCAGTTGGCATTGGAGATCAAGGAGCTTCGGGGAAAGACTGACTCTAGCTTCCACTCTGGAGATACCTTCTAGTCTGCGGAGTAAGGTTTTCTTTCGAGAATTTGTATGCCCAAAGACCTCTTTATTCCACGTTGCACAGGCGCTCGTGAATTGATGGATGTTCTCAGTCCACGAAACCTGACTCTTCCAGTTACCCTTGACAAATTTTTTAAAATCCTCGTGTAGCGCCCAGGATGCAATAAAGCGAAAGGGTCGATTACCATGCTTTCGAACACCAGATCTATGAAGCTTTAAGAGGAGAGGTCGGTGATCAGACTTAAAGAAAGGGAGATGAGTAACCGAGGCCTCCCTAAAGACATCTAGCCACTCAAGATTGCTCAAGACTCTGTCAATTCGACTCTCTGAGTTGTTGCATTTCCAGGTAAATCTTGGACCTAGAAAACCCATATCACTGAGATTTGAGTCTAAGACAAAAGAATTAAAATTGCGATCTACAGCCCCAGCGGGAGAGCGCTCCGAGGCTAAAATAGTAGCGTTAAAATCCCCTGCAACGCACCAGGGTCCATTTACTTGGCGCTGTAGAGCTAGGAGCTCCCTCCATAGCGGCCGACGTTTCGCCACTACTGGGCTTGCGTACACTACCGTAAACCACCATACTTGGTCCGCATACGTTTCAATTTTCAAATGAATGAATTGAGGACTCTTTGAAACGCACTCCACACACCGAATCTTGTAGGACCATAAGCACCAAATTCCGCCGATGAAACCTTCCGCGTCCACAATCTCAGAAACTAAAAACCCAACTTCTTGCTGATATCAACAGCTTTGGCCCCACTACAACGAGTTTCTAGTATGGCCACAAAATCCAAGCTATAGAAGGAGGTCAATTCCCGAACGAGTTGAGGAAAGGAACGTGAGCCTGTCCCTCTAGAGTTCCAGATTAAGCAATTCATGAGGAAACTAGTACAGAGTTTTGGGAGGAGACTCCCGTCGGTGTAATAACCTGGGTATCATTCTCACTGGTCTGTCGTACCTGTTGTTAGACCCCCCTGACGTCAAGTTTAGAAGCTTGGACATGCGAGTTCACCCCAATGATCATTCCAGCATTGCTACTGGTATTAGTCTGTCCCTCCTGTGTCCCACTGTCGAGGATGTAGAAAGGATTGGAGAGAATGAGTTTCCCACGTGCTTCATTTTTACCTAGATCACGTTTGCCTTTTGATCGACCCAACAGTTTAACCCCTAGAATATTCTCCTTTCCTTTAAGCTTATGTGATCCGGGTAGTTTCTTCTTTGAACCAGCTGGGACCCAGTCACTCTCATGATTATTATGGACCTATATGTCAGTTCCGAATTCACGTACGTCCTTCGCCAAGTTAACTACCGCCTTCCCGTTCTCCACACCCGAAATCTCATCAACCTGAATGTCAAGAATCTCGGAATCTTTGGTACGGGCCTCCTTGGCTTGCCATTGCTTTTTCGGGATCTGATTAGATTGTACCTGCACCTTTTGCGGCACAGTAACAGCTGCTGGCTGAGCTAGCGTTTTCTTCGCCACCAATTCTGTCTGAGATTTATCCGTATCCCGAGTCGCAAGTCTCGTGCCGAAACTATGTTTGACAATCATGTGGGGACCGAAAATATTGCTATCAACATTAACAGTTGTTGTCCCCGCCGTCGGCTTCTTGATGGAGATCGGAGAACCGACGTTGGATTCCGAGGCAAGCAATGTGTATTGGACGAGCTACCAGTCTTCTCCGTCTCCACTATTCCTGTTGGGCACTATTCTTTGTGATGACCATATTGACCGCACCGAAAGCATATGAGGTGTAACCGCTCATATAGGATTTTATGCACCTCATCGAAGTGCATGAAAGCTGGTAGCAAAGGTTTCTCCAAGTCTACTTCCACGCAAATACGGGCAAACCCACCTTTCTCTGAAAAGGCTGTAGTACGGTCAATTTTGAGCGTTCGACCAACAAGATTGCCTAGCTGCCAAAGAGATTCAACATTGTATAACTTGACGGGCAGGTCCGGAATGCGGATCCAGGCCGCGATTCTCTTCTGTTGATCAGCCCTCCAAGGGTTAAAATTCGGACGCCATCTTTGTACTAACAGATAGTGATCACCAATCATCCAAGGCCCCTCTTGCAGCGCATAATCCCGGTCTTTTGCAGAAAAGAAAGAGACTATGCTGTAATCGTTACTCAGTGGCATTACTTTAATAGGAGACTGAGGTCTACCCCACATACGCTCCAGGCGTTGCTGCATAAAACTCTCGCCAAATGATTTTCCCATAAGTTTCACAATCAAGGAGTTCCGGAATGGTTTGCACCATGCCTCATATTGAGTATCAGAAAATTTCAACGACGGAAACCTCCCCGACTTGGACCAATGCTCCTCATCCGACGATCTTTCCTCAGATAACCCATCTCCCTCCATCACTGCATCTACCGTAGATTTCTTCCCATTCCACTTCGCGAACTGATCCTTCCATCCCTTCATCGCATCCTCCGCTGACATGTGAGTCTCCAAGAAGCCCGAGTCACCCAAGCTAAGCAACTTATCCCTGTACGAGGACCGGAAACCAGAGTTTCGGCCGTTTCGAAAACCTTCAACGCCGCCATCGCTCTCACCCGCCATCGCGACCTAATTCGTTCTTTGACCTTGCTGCATTCTAATTTACTGCTCCAATATTTGAAGATTTTAATTCACGTCGTTTATTACCTAAAGTATTCTCTCATTATGTGCGTATATATTCTCTTATTTTTTATTTTCACATCAGTAAATGCCTTTGGTCGCTGATGTTTTGTTAAACCAGGCAAAAGAAGTGGTCTTTATGGTGGCAATGCTTCTGCCGGCAACAACATTTTCTGACTGGTTAGATTATTGCTGTAAAGGAGGGAAATTGTCTTTTCGTGTTCGGGGAAATTTCCCACGTGTCCTTGTTGCATACGAGATGGGGAAAGTAATAAACACAAGGCGTGTGTACTCAGTGAAAGCTTTTATGAGCATCAATGGTCGTTATAAAATGCCGTGGATGATACATAATCGTGCTGCAAGGAAAAAGGGCGAAGTTTTATTTACCTTATTTTATCCACATCATGTATTTTTCTTTGATCTGCTACGTCATTTTAGGGAAGAAGAGTTGGAGGGGTTTAATAGGTTTTTGGGATTGGATAAATGGAATGATGTGGACATAGAAATCACATGTCACTCACCAGATGTGTCCATAATTAACTGTGGTATTTATGTCGATAAGCAACAAACGAACATGGAGAATGTACAGTTCAAGTCTTCTGATCTGATTTCCATGAAAACTTCAAGAACTTCACTGAAACGAAGAGCCATAGCTTCTCATCCTAACGAACCACCCAACAAGCATCTAAGAAGGTTCCAAGAAAAGATCAATAATACGAGAAAGAGGACAAGGTGAGCCTCTACTTCCTCTTATTAACTGTCATTTCGTGGTTTATGATTATTGTTGATGTTCTCGCCTTTCATGTATTATTGTAGGAAAAATAAACCTCACCAGATTTTTCATTCACAGTTGAAGACAAAGATGGTTTTTCCTTTGTCTAAGCATCTTTGCAGAGCTTTGTATTCTTAGGCATCAAAATATTACAATTTGTAGGAAATTGTTAGTTAATAGAAAGGAATTCTGTATGATTGTTTTTTTTTTTTTTTTTTTGGTAAGAGGAATTCTGTATGATTGTTAATTCCGATGTGATGATTAATTTCATTTATCATATATATATATAGAAGTGGTTATATAAGTAATATGTTTACGATGTAAATATTATGGTATATCTTGTGTTCAATTTGTTTAATGACAACTGCTATAGAAATATCATTATATATCTTCAATTTTTATTTTTTTGAAAAGTTATTATGAATAGGGATATTTTATTTTAAAAAATATATACTTAGGTCAAATTTTGTATATCTATTATGTTAAATTCTCCTATCACATTAATCATGTGTTTCATTTTTTTATGTAAATTTATAATTAAATATAATATTTTAAAAATAAAACACATTGAATAAGATATGATAATTATGAATTAAGTTGTTAATAAGATACCTATGATAATTATGAATTGTGTTTAATATTCAAAATTTTTATTTTCAATTTAGAAGTTTAAATAAACTCAGCAAAGAAGTTTAAATAGTTCTATAATTTGGCTTTTTTGTTTTTGCATTATTACTCTTAGATTTACTTAAATGATATAATTCAAATAACAAATACTTATAATTTAAAAAAAATTAGACATATAGAGTGGAGGGATTAAAATCATAGAGAGCTAAAAGATCATAGAAATATAAAACAGAATAATATGTGGCGATAATTATCTTCATAGTAAACAAATTAACTTTTCCTTTTGTAGATACCAAGATGGATTTATTGAAAGTATCGTTGAAGATGCATATGCTAGGCTCCTCCTAAGCGCTACCATAACGTTGATTACATCGTCGGACTTGAGCCTTGTATAGAAGAAGTGATGTCACTTTTGGATGAAAGTGATGAAAATAGAGTTTGTATGTTGGGAATTTATGGAATTGGTGGGATTGGCAAAACAACCCTAGCAAAAGCTGTCTATAATTCAATCTTCTACAATTTTGAAGGTGCTTGTTTTTTGTTTGATGTTCGAGAAATATCAAAGAAATATCAAGGTGTTGTTAGCCTTCAACGAACACTACTATCAGAAATTCTAGATGAAAACAAGATTAAGTTTTGTAGTGTTGACGAAGGAATATCAAAAATAAAACATCGGCTCTCTCGCAAAAAGATTCTATTGGTTCTTGATGACGTTGAAGAAGTTGAACAGTTAGAACAACTTGCAGGAGGATGTGATTGGTTTGGTGGTGGAAGCAAGATCATTATAACAACAAGAAACAAGCAATTACTAATTGCATGCAATATTACAAAGACATATGAAATGAAGGAGTTAAATGAGCGTTACTCTCTTGAGCTTTTTTGTTGGCATGCATTTCGAAAGAGCCAACCTCCAAAAGTATACAAAAGTATGTCCATTGGTATTACACATTATGTACGTGGCCTTCCTTTGGCTTTAAAGTTGATAGGCTCCAATTTGGCACACAAAGACTTAGAGGAATGGAGATATACATTGACACAATATTATAAAATCTCAAGAACAACAATATATGAGATATTGAAAGTAAGCTATGATTGCTTACAAGATGATGCTAAGCGTGTTTTCTTGGACATTGCTTGTTTCTTTAAAACGGAGACATTGGAATTGGTTGAAGAAATACTAGGAGCTTGTTACTATGGGACAAGGTTTTATATTGAGGTTCTTGTTGATAAATCTTTGATAACTATTGCTGATAATGGTCTCTTGCTGATGCATGATCTAATACAACAAATGGGTAAAAAGATTGTTGAGCAAGAGGCACCCTCAAATCCTGGTAGACGTAGCAGGTTATGGTATTACAAAGATGTTCTTAATGTGCTGCGTAAAAATTTAGTAAGCACTGAAAATTTATCCATTTCCTTGTATACAATAAACTATGCAAATTTGGCAAATATCTAACTATATTACTTTTTGGAACTTGTTGTAGGGAGAAAATGATATTGAAGGAATAATACTTGATCCACCTGAACAAGAAGAAGTGAAGTGGAATGGTTTAGCCTTTGAGAAAATGGATAATCTTCGCATTCTCATTGTTCGAAATACCCACTTTTTAACCGGTCCCAGGTATCGCCCCAACAGTTTGAGATTGCTTGATTGGGAGGGATATCCTTCTATGACTTTACCGCCGGATTTTTCTCCTCCAAAACTAGTTTGCTTCAAGTTATGTAGAAGTCTTTTCAGATTTGAAGCGCCATTCCAGGTACTTTATTCACTCTTTTTTCGATGATCAAATTTCTTGAGCCATAATGTTCTTCTAAGAATTCGAGAATAAATTACTTTTAACTCTCATTGAATTTTTATTATCTTCTATAGAATCATCAACTATTTCACGATCCAAAGGAGATTTGTTAAAGATTCAGTACGAATAAGATTAGACAAATCAAAGGGAGGCTAGAATATTCTGTTCAAAAGATAATATATTTCTTGACAACTGTTATTAATTAAATAATGTTGGTTTTCTTTTGCAGAAGTTTGAATATGTGACACATATGAATTTCTCGCGGTGTGAATTTATAACAGAAGTACCTGATATGTCTCATTTTCAAAACTTAAAAACATTAAGCTTTCGCGAATGTCGCAATTTGATCAAAGTTCATGATTCAGTGGGATTTCTTTGCAAGCTAATCAAATTAGACGTTGGTAAATGTACCCAACTTAAAAGCTTTCCAAGTGAAATCAACATGCCATCTCTTGAGATGCTCGTTCTTACTGATTGCAAGAGTCTTGACTACTTCCCAAATATAGTTGGAAATACGGATGCACTTGGAAGTATTTTTGCAGATGGTAGCGCTATGAAAGAGCTTCCAAATAGCTTATTCACGCTACAAAATCTTAGCTTACTTATGCTGGGAGGCCTTCGATCTCATGGTAGAAAATCTTTGAAGAAACTACTGCAAGAGAGCCAACCATTTGTCAGTTGCACTAACCTAGAGTGCTTGGATCTCGGAAACTGCGGCCTATTGGATGAAGATGTTTACCATACTCTGAAATGTTTTCAGAATCTGCAAGACTTGGATCTATCAGGAAATCATTTTGCATCACTTGCTGAGTGCATTAAAGAGTGCGATGATCTAATGATGCTTGAAATAAATAATTGTAAGAGACTAAGAGACATACCAGAGTTGCCATCGGGGTTGCGCCACATAAAGGCAGAGAATTGCGCAGCATTAACAACCGAGTCAATAAGCCGTTTATGGTTTCAGGTTTTTCTGATTTTCCTTTATTTTGATAATATTCATTTGTCATGTTGGATTTTAAAGCTTTTGCAGGTATGAACCACTAGAAATCATGTCATAATTAGAGCTTATTAGTGTGGGTTAATAATATTTCGGCATCCAACACCCTAATATTATTTTCAAGTTGCATTTAACACCTAACTCATATTTATGATGCATCTAGCACCTTGATGTTATTATTTAATTTTTTTTTTTTTGTGTGTTTCCAGCACACTAATCCCTGTTTTTTTTGGGTGCATCTAACACCCTAATTCATAAATAAAATTAGGATATCGGATGCAACTAGAAAATAACATCAAACGTGTAGGATGCACCACAAAAACAACATTAGGGTGCCAAATGTTACTTTATCCCTTGATTTTTTTTTTGCCGGATACCCCTTGTTATGTCTTATCTATGAATAACATAAATTTCAAGCATTATTTTATATGATATTCTCGAATCTGAAAAAGCCTCTCCTGTTTGGTATTTCGATAAATCAGGCAAAAACCTTCTTTACTATGCCAGCAACAACATTTCCTGATTGGTTCGACTACTGCTGTGAAGGAGACACATTGTCTCTTGGTGTTCGTGGGAAAAATTTCCCTGCTCTTGTCATTGCAATTGAATCGGGCAAAGCTAAGGCAAAAAGGAGTCGTCTCACCTTCCAAGCTTTTATCAGAATTAATGACCGTAAAATGTCATGGACAAATCACGATGTTCCTTATGCTCTTGGTCAAAGTAGAGAATGTGATGCGTTGGTTTTCTTTGGTAAGCAAGGTCAAGTGATTTCATTTGATTTACTCCAGAATTATTTTGATGAAGAAGAATTGGAGGAGCTTAGTAAGTTTCTAGAATTGGGTTGGAATTATGTGGATATACAAGTTATGTGTGACTCGCCAAATATCTCCATAATTAAGAGTGGAGTTTATGTTGATAAGCAGCAAACAAGCATGGAGAATATTCGTTTTGTGTCTCCCAGGGCTTTCATGAATAATGCTTCAAGAACTTCACTGAAACGAAAAGTCATAAGTTCCCCTCTTAATGAACCAGCGAAGAAGCTCTTGAGACATTTTAAGGCTACAGATAAAGGAAAACTCGATAACACCAAGAAAGGGACCAATGAGCCTCTATTTTCTTCTGCAAGTTGTCGTTTATTTATTTCGAGGTTTTGGCTTATTATTAATTTTGTCTGCCTTGTATGAATCGTAGGAGAAGAAAACGACACCAAGTTTTTCGTTCGTGGTACAAGACGCTCTATCCAAGGGGCAAGCATTTTTGGAGATTTCTTTACTATTAGCTCTCTATAATTTTTGTAAATACTGTTTCTTGAATTTCTAAAACTTCAGCTTCCCTCTGCACGCCTCTTCTCTTCCTAGACATTATGAGATAGGGTGACTCTTCACCAGACAGAGCTCGTCACATAGGTTGGTTCTTCCACCTGCAAGTGTGTTTTTTGGGAATGGGTTAAGATGCAATTTTAATCTTGATCTTCGGAGTAAGATTGTACAAAAAAAAAAAAAAGAGAGTCAAAATTGCATCATTGAAAAGATTAGAGGCATAATTGCACTTTAGTTCTTTGGAAATCGAATGTCAGCTAATTACTCCTTCCCCCAACACTTGTTGGTGTTTAACGCTCCTTTATTTATTATTTGGTACTCTTTCCGTTCCTTATTATAAGAGATGAATAACCGACTTATATTGATCAAAAAACAGTTAAAATTAATTAAGAACAATCAATGTATAAAAAGTATAATTTTTTTTCAAAAATGCTCTCATTAATAAGGAGAGAGAGCATGAGAGAGAAATTAAATTATTAAAAGAAAGAGAAATGGGAGGGGGAGAGAGTGTGAGTTGGAGACAATAAATATGAGTAAAATAGAAAATCAATACAAAAAAGTAAAGACAACTTTTAAGTGTCTCTTATATATAAGAAAATGTCATAAGCATCAAATGTCTCTTATAATAAGGAACGGAGGGAGTAGTAAATATAAGTCATTTGAAGGGACGATTTTTTAATTTTATTCTTAATTTTTGTTGGAATAAGAGAAAAGAATAAATGTGAGAATAATTTGTAAATATAAAGAGAAATTTTTTTAATAAGAATAAATTTAAAATATTTTATCAATTTAAGACATATTTAATAACTTAGTTCTCATTTCTTAGCAGTAAAATGAGCGTGAACCGGGGTGGTCATGCCCAAAACTAATTTTTCTTGCCTTTCATTCTAAAATCAAGTTTCCTTCGCTACCTGCAAAAATAATTTTTTAGAAAAAATAGTATCCAATCATGAATATTCCTCCAATCACATAATGCTTGCTTAATTAACAAAGGTAACTAAATTAATCAATTCTAACAAAATTGACATGATTTCTTTGAAATATTTCTATACTATAGCATAAGATTATACTACTTCCACTTATTAATATAAAAGCTAATTGAAGGATTGTATTTAATTTTAAATATAAGATCTTAATTCATTTTGTTTTTTAAAATTTATAACTTTTTCTCTAAAATATTCTTATCGTATTGATTGTAAAGGTTTTCCATTAAAGATAGAAAATAGCATAGTTTAAGGAAATCAACACATATTTGTTACAATTAACTTGCTTAACCAATTTTTTTAATTTATTTAAATTATTTATTTAACTCTTATATTAAGAACAAGAGATAGTATGTCAATTAATAAATTAATTAATAAATTAGAGAAATAACGTGAATTAAATTATTTTCTTTGGCACCCGAGTAGAAAGCTTCATAAAAAATTCTTTTCAATTTCATGAACTCGCCTGCTGGCGCGCTGGAAACTCGAATTCCAACGGTAGGTATGACTTTAAATACTTCCCAGATAATTAAATAGATCACACAAAATTCCAAAGATGCAATTGCAAGGTTGGCAATTTTTTTTCAAACTGAAAATCCAACGCTGCAATCCCTCCACTCATGGGGGGCCCAAAAAAAAAAAAAACGCTCTCCCCACCTGCCTGAGCAAAAAAACGGAAACCATCAAAGGCTTGCTCTGCCTTTGCTGATTCATCGTTTTTGTGTAAATTTCTCTTCCAGGTTTGAGTATTCAAATCCCAATACATCGCTAGCATTCTGTGATTGTTGCAGCCACGGCCATTCGAATGGCAGCACCATCATCGGCTGTCTTCGCCGGCAAATCCAAGTACAGATATGACGTTTTCCTCAGTGTCAGAGGCGAAGATACTCGCCACTCCTTCACTGTTCATCTCTACGATGCTCTGCGTCGGAAGGGAATCAACGCCTTCATTGACGACAAGAAGCTTGGGAAAGGGGAGCGGATCTCACCTACGCTTCTTATGGCCATTGAGAAATCCAGAATCGCGATTATTGTGTTCTCTAGGAATTATGCAACTTTCACATGGTGCCTCAATGAACTCGCCCGCATCATTCGGTGTAAGAAGGAGAAGAACCAACTGGTTATGCCCGTATTTTACAATGTGAATCCGATGGATGTTCAATATCAGAGTAACAGCTTTGGAGATGCCATGGCTGCTCTGGAAGATAGGTTCACAGATGACTTAAAGAAAGTGCGAAAATGGAGATCTGCTTTGTCTGAAGCTGCTAGTTTGCCATCAGCATGGCTTTTGGGAGATGGGTGGGCTTCTTTATAGTTGTTTCTAATTGCCTTCTGCCAATGAAATATCCAAATTCTTGCTTAATAACTAGTGGTTGCCGATGATATGACACGCTTTTGAAGATTTATGAAATTTTGATCGGCGTCTATTATTCTTGGATCTCTGTAAACTTGGGGCTTCAACATTTTGGCTTTAATAATGCTCAAGTTTCAGATATTTTGACATAAAGATTTTTAATTTAAATCTTAACTGCAAATTTTTATTGATTTTTTTACTTATATTTTATTTTGTAACGTTCAAATCCTGATGTTACTTCTAATTCTACTTGTAACACAACACTATATAGGAAAAACTTTTTTTTTTTGGGGCTCATGTACAAGAAGAGTGAAATATTCTATTTTTTGCTTGTTTTTTATATATTATATATTTGGCCTTGATGATGACTTTTTTAATTTACTTAAAAGGCAGTATTATTATGGTCGCATATTTCTCATAATTTTTTAATTTCAAATATAAATACTTTTATATAGTGAACGGATTTAAAGATTAAGAGCTAATTGAGATTGAGGTTACCTTTGAAGAATTAAACGAGATTTTACTTGAAAGAGTTATGATAAATGAGAAAAAGAATAGAAAATGGCATTTTGCAACAATCATATCCACAATAACCAGAGAATCTACACTTTTGTAGATATGGATCTGGGTTTATTGAAAAGATTGTTGAAGATGCATTTGCTATGTTACCTCCTAAACGCTTGCATTGCCTCGCATAGAAATGATGATGTCACTTTTGGATCATTCTAATGATGGCATTTGTAAGTTGGGGATTTATGGAACTGGTGGAGTTGGAAAAGCAACCCTTGCGAAGGCTTTGTATAATTCAATCTTCTACCAATTTGAAGGCGCATGTTTTTTGTTTGATGTTAGAGAAGCGTCAAAGAAATACCAGGGCATTTTTCATCTTCAGCAAACATTATTAGCAGAGATTCTTGAGGAAAAGAAGACAAAGTTTGGCAGTGTTGATGAAGGAATATCTAGAATAAAACACCGGATCTCTCACAAAAGAGTCCTATTGGTTCTTGATGATGTTGATGAGGTTGAACGGTTGGAAAAACTAGCAGGTGGGCGTCATTGGTTTGGTTGTGGAAGCAAGGTCATTATAACAAGAAGAAATAGACAGTTGCTAGTTGTGTAATGTTGAGAAAACATATGAAATGAAGAGGCTAGATGATCATGACGCTCTTGAACTCTTTTGTTGGCATGCATTCCATTTGAACCAGCCTCCAAAAGGCCATGAAAAAAATGTCCATACGTGTGATGAGTTATGCAAAGGGCCTTCCTTTGGCCTTAAGAGTGATTGGCGCCAATTTAGGAATGGAGGTCTATATTAGAACAATATGAGAGGATCCCAGAAAGAACAATTCTAGACGTACTAAAGATAAGCTATGATTGCTTACAAGATGGTGCGAAGGGTGTTTTTCTAGATATTGCTTGTTTCTTTAAAGAGGAGGATTTGGAATCTGTTGAAGAAAAACTAGCAGCTTACGATTTTGGTGCAAGGTTTTATATTGAAGTTCTCGTTGACAAGTCTCTTATAACTGTTGCTGATAACGGTAACTTGGGCATGCATGATTTAGCACAACAAATGGGTAGAGAGATTGTTAGGCAAGAGGCACCGTCAAATCCTTGTAAACGCAGTAGATTATGGCATTACAAAGATGTTCTTAAAGTATTGCGTGAAAATCTAGTAAGGATCTAATTCTTGTCTTTTCTTCATATAGTCATATGCATTAAATCTATTGTGCGATTTTGCAATATCTAACTGTTATGCCTTGGACTTCCATTATAGGGGAGTAGTAATATTAAAGAAATAATGCTTGATCTGCCTCAACAAGAAGTGGAGTGGAGTGGTATGGCCTTTGAGAAGATGAGTAATCTTAGGATTCTTGTGGTTCGGAATTCACAATTTTCAACCAACCCAAAGTATTTTCCGAGTAGTTTAAGATTGCTTGACTGCGCAGGATATCCTTCTACTACCCTACCACCAGACTTTTCGCCTAAGAAACTAGTTTACACCAAATTACCTGGTAGTCTTTTTAGATTGGAAGAGCCATTCAAGGTATTTTGCCCCCCCCCCCCCCAATTTATAACTGCTTCAAGAATAAACTACTTCAACTTTCCTTCTCTACATATTCATTGTACATCATATGCAAACCTCTAATCTATTTCATGGATCTGCACAACTATAACGTCATTTTTTTATGAGAAACTTTGCTGTTAATTAAATAATTTAGTTTTTGTTTTGCAGAGGTTTGAATGTGTGACATATATGAATTTCTCACACTGTAAATTCATAACTAAGTACCTGATATGCATGTCTCAATTTCAAAATTTAAGAAGACTGTTGTTTACAAGGTGTCGCAATCTCATCACAGTTCGCGGTTCAGTGGGATCTTTGTCTAAGCTCATTGAATTAGATCTTAGTGTGTGCAGCAGTCTTACAAGCTTTCCACGTGAAATCAAGATGGCTTCTCTTCAAAAGCTTCATGTCAGTTATTGCAGGAGTGTTGACTACTTCCCATGTATAGTGGGGAAGATGGAAGCACTGAGGACAATTTATGCAGAAGGCACTGCTATTAAAGAACTCCCACCTTCCATCGGAAATCTTCCAACACTTGAATCTTTAGCTATAAGCTCCCACAAAAGTATCAGGGAGCTTCCAAGCAGCTTATTCACACTGCAAAACCTTAGTTGGCTTAATCTATGTGGTATTCAGCCTCCAAGCAGAAAATCTTTAATGAAATTAATGCAAGAGAGCCAACCTGTTATCAGCTGTGCAAACTTGGAGACATTAAATCTCGAAAATTGTTGTCTAACTGATGAAGACCTTCACCTAGCTTTAAATTGTTTTTGGAATGTTCAAAAGTTAATTCTTTCAGGGAGCAATTTTGTTTCCCTTCCTGCGTGCATCAAAGAGTGTGCTAATCTGCAGACACTAGCGCTGAATAACTGCAAGAGGCTTAGAGACATACCAGAGTTGCCGTCAAAATTGGAAAATATAGAGGCAGAGGATTGTACTGTACGTCATTAACTCCAGAGTCATTAGGCCATCTATGGTCTCAGGTTTTGTCATCCCTTTTGTATACTCGTTTTCTGTTGCTATTTTGAAGATTAAACAAATTAAATGCTAGCGTAATGGTCAGACGGATGCTGGTGATTTCCATTTGGGATATGGATTTCTCTATTTTCTCAAAGAAACCATTAATTCATTTCTTGTCCATTGACCAAAACTTTTTCGCATGAAATCCTTCTATTATCTAGTCAGATTAATTGTTTCACATTACAAACTTTTTTGCACAGAATCCTTCCTTTTCCCTTTTTTCCCTTTATCTATCCACAAAATAATGTACTAGTCAATAGATTGCTGAGTTGAACTTTTCTGCTTAGACATCACCAGTTTGAACTGTTTCATGAACGCAAGTCATCACTGGAGCTTATTATCAGTGAGGGCTAAGAACATATTGGCATTCTGTTGGCCGTTCTGGTTATGTAGGCTACCTATGGTGGTTCAATATTATAAAGGAGTATTAAATCCATTACCAACTTTCCATCCAAGCTTAGCAGTGTTTTAATGGATTTCCCAATGTAGGACTTAGATGAGCGGTTTCATATCCCATCATCATGCTAGACGCATGAGTGGTTACTTCTCCAATTGCGTTTCGTTGGAGTGAATTTGTGGCTTTAAATACTTAGGAATTCCAATTGCGTTTTGTTGGAGTGAATTTGCACTTTAATCTAAAATTAAAATCTGAATTACATACTTTGACACATCTTGATAGATCAGCATTTTAAGAACAATTTATTCATCCCTCCCAACTAGAAGTATCAGAAAATATTTCAAGGAGGATTCAGCAATGGTGAGGCTAGAGAAAGGGTATAGAAGGGAACTGCCGAAAAAAAGGGAGGAAAATTAACAAAATAATCCATCGCAAATTTACTTTGCGACGAACTATTACATCATAAATAATTTTATCTAGGGGATTGAAAGTTTAATGAAAATGAGAAATAAAAGTTAAAGATGGAACTTATAATTGTCAGTTACGCTGTCACCGTATCAAATTCAAACCCTGTTGACGAAGACTCAGCTAATCATATCCGACAAAAATTTAAAACCAAAAAAAAAATAATAATAATAATAATAATAATGGCAAACAGCGCGGGGGTTGGGTGCATTTCCAGAAAGTAAAATGTATGTGTAGTGGTTGGCTTTAATTCTTCTCATGAAAAAACAAAAGGGAGTCAGGAGAAGCTCGCGTGCGAGGAAGAAGACGTGGAAATTGGGAGAGCTAGATTAGAATAAATAATGATTAGGCCGTAGGTGTTGGGAAAGGGGTCTTCCCCCGTCCTTTTTTTAAAAAAAAATATTTTCCTCCACTTATTATCTCAACTACTTTTCAAATTGCAATTTGAATAGATTTCATATTATGTAAAATCATTTTATAAAAGATTGTTATTATTTTTTTAAATTATCATAGCCAAAATTTAATAACTTAATTTTATTTTTTTAAAAAAATAATTTATTCTTAGTTTTATAACATATAAAATTTGGATCGTTTCAATTACAATCTTATGGTTGAAATGAAAAGCGAAAAACGAAGAGTCGGGGGATTGCTTTCCTGTCGGTGTCAAGGCAGAGTTTGTCGAGATATTCCTTTTCTGTGAAAATTTTCTTGACCCCTTCGAGAAACTTGTGCACCTTTTCTGTTTTCACTTTCTCTTTCTGTTGAGCTGGATGTTCTGATTTATAAATTATCTTCAATATATTTTATTAAAGTTAAGAAAAATATTAAATCTGTTTAACATACCCTACTATTCCGGAAAAACTAGAGGTACATCTATTTTGTGATTTCAATTCAAGAGCTTTTATGCATTTTCAGACCCCTTTCAGGCCTCAAAAAATAGACAAACTCTTTTTTTAGAAACACATACAAGATTCGTCATCATAAAAAAGAAAATGGTAACCACACTATTAATATTTTAACTTTATTTATATTTAATATATATGATATATAATAAAAACCGTCTACCGCATAAAAAGCAGGGCATTTTTTTGGGTAAACTTTAATAGACATAAGGATTACTGGAAGAGAAAAAAAGTTAACATTAAAAACTGGCTTATTTGACTTCCAAGGACGCAAGACCACGCATGATGCCCCCCCACTCACTCTAAATAAATATATAAATACATAAAAAGAAACAGCATTAAAAGACTCATTCTCTCCGCTTACTCACTTTTGAACAGAAAATTCCTCGCCAAGGTTTTAATTAAAAAGTCCTAAAATGTTCAAGAAAGACTTCACGGTGATTTTATATGATGTGCCGCGCCTTCCTGACGCTCAAATAGGACATTGCAATGTCTATTTTGGTATTAAAAGGCTCTATCCGCAATCAAATGCTAGGAGGCACTTATGTTTTACTCCCTCCAATCCTTAGTATAGAGATTAGATAGATAGATGGTATACTTTGATAATAAATTTAATATATCAATTTATTTTGCCTTTTATATTTATAATTTTTTTTCAAAATATCAATATTGATAAAAAGGCAATTTCAGTGTGCATAATTATGGAGGGTATTTTGATAAATCAACACACATTTGTTATAAATGATTAACTTAACTAATTTTTTTAACATTGATTTGTGAATTAGTTATCTATATCATATATTAAGGAATGAACAAATTATATTTTATTTACTAAAATATGGTTCGATTTTCAGTATGCATTTTAAAAAAATAATCACAAAAAGAAGTTTGAAATTATTAAATTTCAAATCAAGTTTGGTTCCAATACTTTAGTAGGTTTTCACAACAGTAAACTTGTAAATAATAACACCTTTTTGTAGGAATTTCTTACTGTAAATTTTGTAATTTTCAGTTTTTTTGTAGAATTTTTCCTTAAATTTAGTAATCCCAATAATGTGTATGACTAAGGAGGGTATTTCAGTAAATCAATACATATTTATTATAAATAACTAACTTTAACTTTCTTAATATTCATGAATTAATTATTTATCTCCTATATTAAGGGTCGGATGAAGTATATTTTATTCATTACTACTTCCCATGGACATTAAAAAAAAAAAAAATTCATTCCATGAATATGCGCCATTCCACTTTTGAGTACAGATTAAAGGCAAGGGGTCATGGATCACCAAAGTTTGATGGAAATGAAGACGGTGCTTGCTGCGAATTAGCACGCTCGCGCAAATGGCCAAGGTCGTCTTTTCCTTTTTCTGCTTTATCGCTTTTTTTTGTAATAATTAAATGTTGAAGCTTGATGCAATTATTGCAAACCAAATAAAAAAAAAAAGAAAAGATGATTACATTATTAGATGGTGTGACACAGAGTAGTTGATTTATATTTTCTGGTTCAATGCATGGGAATATATGATTGTTATGAACACAAATGATCCAAAGTGAAAGCCCATAAAAAACACTTCTCTTCTTATCCTTTATACTATCTCTTATCCTAATTATAAGACCTCGTTTATAAACTATAAATAAAGTCTTATAATTAAGGCCTGAGATAGTATTTTTTTTGTCCGGTGAGATGTGTGAAAAGCACACTTCACCGGCGGAAGGTAATCACTATGATCACTCTTGTGTGCTGACGGGTAAAAAAGTAGACTTATCCTGAGTAAATTGGCCAGGTCATACACGTATAATAGTGAGGATTCAAACCTCTAAACACTTGGTTGAGTAACAAGAGCTCGTATCACTCACAAATTTCATATGAGTAAAACATTTTCTTTCATATTTTTACACAATTTAATAGTTTTATATAGTGGAGATAATAATAGATATTGGAAGAATAGGGACATCTTTAAAAAAAAAAGCATTTTAACTAGATCTTATATTAAGCAACAGAGGTAGTATATAAATATATTTATACACATGCATATATATAACTTTATTTTTGGTATAACATTCTGCTAACTCAAATTTAAGCATTAATATAACTAAGATAGGGAGACCTAAGTCACTTTAGATTTGAGACTAATCTATGTCAGGCCGGGAGAACGTTAAGGTTAAAATCCTCCTAATAAGTGCGCTTCTCAGGATTCAAACTTGTATTCTTCTTTTTGTTGGCTAATGACATGAACTTTACTTTCAAAGGGGGAGCATTGTAATTATACATAATGTAAAAATCCTATATATTTTATGCTGCAACAGTCCATTTCTTATTTGCCTTTTTTTTTTTGGGTTAAATTTCATTCTGTATTGTGTCCTGATACATAAAAAATAACTTTCATAAAAAGATTAAAGAAAATAATGATGATCCTCGACTTGTTTTTTGGAGGCATTAGAAAAAGAAAACCGTCACGCTTTCTTCCTCCGCTTTAATAATCCACTCTGACTACACTTTCCAAATTCCAACTTTCGGAGAAATTTGTTAATGGAGGATCAAACGCGGTGTTATGCTTTTTGCCGATTCACCACTTTTGTATAAATTTCTCCGCCTCGTTAGAGCAGTCAAATCCCCATACCTTGCAAGCATCCACAGATTATTGGAGCCATGGCTATTCAAGTTTCATCCCATAGCTTCACCGGCCAACCCAAATACAGATTTGATGTTTTTCTGAGTTTCAGAGGCGAAGATACTCGCCACTCCTTCACTGTGCCTCTCTACGATGCTTTGCGGCGTAAGGGAATCAACGCCTTCATTGACGACAAGAAGCTCGGCAAAGGCGAACGGATCGTACCTGCGCTTCTTAAAGCCATTGAGAGATCGAGGATTTCCATTATTGTCTTCTCCAGCAACTACGCTACGTCTACATGGTGCCTTGATGAACTAGCGCACATCATGTGGTGTAAGAATGAGAAGAACCAGCTGGTTATGCCTATCTTTTACAAGGTGGATCCAATGGCTGTTCAGTATCAAAAAGACAGCTTTGAAGCAGCCATGGCTGCTCATGAAGATACATTCAGAGATCACCCAGAGAAAGTGCAGAAATGGAAGTCTGCTTTGTCTGAAGCAGCTTCTTTGTCAAAGGCCTGGCTTTTTGAAGATGGGTATGTTTGATTATTCTATTCTTAATTTGCTGCTGATGAAATTTTAGAATTCTTTATCACCGGTATTACTGGTTGCTCATGATATAACAAAATAATGTTGGAGATGTTTGAAATTTTGACTGGTCACTATTGCTCTTACCTAATGATTGATCTACTAAACCTGGGGTCTTAATTTTTTTTCCGTGAATATTTAAAAAAAATTTTTGGTCCCGAAAATAATTTATAATTTAAGGGGTTTTTTTAAAACAATTGTTGATAAAGCTTTCAGCTGTAAAATTTTATTAATGTTTCTTAACGAAATAATAAAATTAAAAAAAAATAGTCATTGCTAATGTCATAACTGGATCCATAAAATTCGGCGATGAAAAGTTATCCTTCCACGTTATTTTTGCGTGATTTTGTTCTTAAGAATGGAACATGTAGACGCATAAATTTCTATATTTAAGTTCCCAATCGATTTCTTACTCATAATTCGTCATTACAGTACAGATCTATCCATTGCACGAAATCTGACGATTGAGTTCCATTGTTTGTAGTAGCTATTTAGTGTTTTTATATTAGATATATATACACACTATGTGTCACTAATTAGGATTATGAACAAATTCAAAATGTTTTCTTATATATTGTGTGGAATCTGAAGAATGTTTTGTGTGGCTTGATATAGACTTTATATTTCAAATTGACTAAAATTTTTTATTCAATATTAATATTTAATATTTTAATTTTGTTCTAGTTTTATTCTTAGATTTATTTTTCTTTATGCCTTAATGGAGATCATGTATATAAAAATATAGAGTAAAATACTCTGACCTACTTTGTATTTTGGTCTAATTACGCAGACCTCCTCTTTATTTTAAAAACATAAATACAATTAAGTCCAAACTGCTAAATCTATTAAGAATATTCTAAAAAATAATTTTTAAATCAAATTTTATATTAAAATATTTTATTTACTAATTTACCTTTCATAGTACTAAATCCCTAAGTTTTGGTTTAAAAGTTCTGTAGAATTTAAAATTTTGGGAAAATTAGAAAGAAGGCCCAAAAAAATAATATTTATCGGGAAGGATCTTAAAAATTATGATTGTTTACAGGGACCAAATAGTAAAATATAAATTTAAAAATAACAAATTATCTCTAATTAGATTCCTACATTTCCTCTTATCATACGTCAATTTAATATATTTTTTATAATCTTTTTAATTTATACTAAAATTCTTTATAGTTTGTTCTCATCAATATTTGGAAAAAAAAGTCAAATCAAATAAAAAATATTTATTGGTAATAAAAACTATTTTATATAACTAAACAAACAATTAAACGAAATTATTCGTCAACATGAATAATGCTAGCAATAGTTAATTTTCATTTTTGCCCTCGTGCGGCTTTTAATTGGACTTTCCTCTTTCTTTAAATATTTCTTTCTTTATTTTTTAATAAATTATTGCTATATATATTTTTATAAATATATTTAAATGTCAATAAACATATTTTAATTTATTTAATAAATACAATTGAACAGTTTATAAATATTTTCTTAAATTCTTATTAATTTTAGTTTCTTAAGATATTAAATTCTTAGATATATAATATTATTCAGAGTTATTTTTATATCTGAAAATTTCCATTTTCTTAATTTTAATAACTTCTATTTTTATTATGATTTACCTTAAGTGACATATCCAGATAAAAAAACAAAATTATGAAAAATGATTAGGGAGAAAAAAATTAAAACCATAAAAAATTTTATGAGTATCGCTAATCAATTTGATTTTTATGTTTTTTGGATTTCACCTTATGTCTACCTCAAAAATGATATGAAACTAATTTTTTTGGTGAAATATAAAATACCAACCTGTGGAGCTGATTTTTCTGTTTAACTGTTGATTTAGGTGAAAGTGATAAATTTTTACTTTTGATCCAGTATCGTTAAATTATGAAATATAATGTGTATTATAGTAGTTGATCCCCAAAACATAGAATACATGTGAGATGTGATTAGAGAAAATTTAGGGATTTAGTTAGGGACAGTTTAGTATTCTTAGACTTATATTTTGATATTTGGTCCCTCTAAATAATTATAATTTTTAAGATCCTTTTGAATAAATATTGGTTTTTTTTAGGTCCCTCTCTTCAGTTTTCTCTATAATTTCTTTTTCCTTAATTTTATTTTTTAATTTTTTAATGTTCTTATCATATTGCCATAGAAAATTAAGTAACTTAGCTAATCTAGCCAGGAAAATCTTGAATAGAAATTTTATTAATTCTTTAAATAAATATATAATTGACTAAATAAGTTACAAATGTTTCTAACAAAATTTTTATTTAAAATTTTTAAATCATGAATTTAAATGATTCCTATAATCTCTCAAGCTTAGATGATTTATATTATATGATAAAAAATATGTATTTAATATATGTTTTAGCCATTTAAAAGAAACCTAATAAACAAGTTTCAATATATGTGATGAAAAAATAAAATTATAAAATTTTACAATATAATCAAAATTAATTAATTTTATTATATATTACAAATTTTGAAAATACATGTATGAAAATTATTTTTTCTTGTATCAAAATTATTTTTTTTGATAAATATGAATGTTTAAATAACTTTTATATCAATGAGGGGTATTTTGGTCCAAATAAAAAATTAAAAGTCATACTTAATGGTTAGCTAACAGTTGAATGGATTAAAAATGAAATTCAAATATACAAGCTAAGAGAGGTTTGTGTAATATACATTTTAATTTTAATGGAGGTTTATAATTATTTTCAAAGTAGAAAGGAGGTTTTTGTAATTTAGCTAGGTAAAATAGATGGGCAGTTATTATATTTTACTCAAAAATATATGATAAAAAACAAAACAAAAGAACGACAAACATTTTTTTTTTTTGCATGAACCATCTTTGTAATACAAGAGAATTTGCATTTTTGTAGATACGAAATTGGGTTTATAGAGAGGATTGTTAAAGATGCATGTGCTGTGCTGCCTCCCAAACACTTACATAGCATTGGGTACACGGTTGGACTCGAGCGTCGTGTGGAAGAAGTGATTTCACTTTTAAATCAATCCGATGAGAGAGTTTGTATGTTGGGGATCCATGGGATTGGCGGAATTGGCAAAACGACCCTTGCAAAATCCGTATATAATTCAATATTCTACCAATTTGAGGGTGCATGCTTTTTGTCTGATGTCAAAGAAGCATCAAAAAAATACCAAGGCATAGTTTGTCTACAACAGAAACTTCTATCAGAGATTCTTGAGGAGAAGATTATGAAGATTGGGAGTGTTGATAAAGGAATATCAAGAATAAAACATAGGCTTTCTAAGAAGAAGGTTCTATTGGTCCTTGATGATGTTGATGAGGCTGAACAGTTAGAACAACTTGCAGGGCAGTGTGATTGGTTTGGCTGTGAAAGCAGAGTCATTATAACAACAAGAAATAAGCAAGTGCTAATTGCACGTAATGTTGAAAAAACATATGAAATGATCAAGCTGAATGAGTATGACTCTTGTGAGCTCTTTTGTTGGTATGCCTTCCATATGAACCAACCTCCGAAAACCTATCAAGAAATGTTTAGTTGTGTGATAAGTTATGCACAGGGCCTTCCTTTAGCATTAAGAGTAATAGGCTCCAATTTGGCAAATAAAAACTTAGAGGAATGGAGTTCTATATTGGAACAATATGAGGGGATCCAGGAAAGAACAATTCATGATATCCTAAAGATAAGCTATGATTGCTTACAAGCTGGTGCTAAGCGTATTTTCCTGGATATTGCTTGTTTTACGGATAAGGAGATGTTGGGATCTATTAAAGATATTGCTCGTTTTACTAATAAGGAGGTGTTGGGATCTATTAAAGAAAGCATACAAGCCTGCGATTTTGGTGATAGGTTTTGTCTTGAAGTTCTTGTTGATAAATCTTTGATAACTTTAGCTGCTGCTGGTGATTATATTATCATGCATGATCTAATACGACAAATGGGAAGAGAGATCGTAAGACAAGAGGCACCATTAAATCCTGAAAAGCGTAGCAGGCTATGGTATTACGAAGATGTTCTTAAAGTATTACGTGAAAATTTAGTAAGAATCTAAACCATGAATCTTATTGTGATACAACCCCCTCCCCCCAAAAACATATGGTGAGATCTATTAATGTTGTTTTTTTTTTCACCTGCATTGTAGGGATGCAATAATAATGAAGGAATAATGCTTGATCCTCCTCATCAAAAGAAAGTAAAGTGGAGTGGTATGGCATTTGAGAAGATGAATAATCTTAGAATTCTTGTTGTTCGAAATGTCCAATTTTCAACCGCCCCTGCCTATCTTCCCAACAGTTTAAGATGGCTTGAATGGGAGGGATATCCTTCTACAACTTTGCCAAGAGATTTTTCTCCGTCGGAACTAATGTGTTTGAAGCTAACTAAAAGTCCTTTTAGACTAAAAGGGCCATTAAAGGTACTTTTTAAAATAATTCTTTATATTATTTTTCAGTCAAATTTCTTTCTCTTTTTCTTGCTGGCCTGCCAAATTTCTTCAGCTGTAAATTTTCATATAGTCATGCTCCGTATGATTCTGGTTTAAGCAAGTCTCACATAGTTGTTATAAAATTGAATAGTTTATTTTGTTTTATAATTTCCTCATATATGTATATTCCAGAAACCTATAAATGTCATGTATATTTTGAAAGCATATATGTTTTAATTTTTCATTTGTGAATAATAATTATGAAGCGCATTTCACAATATTTTGTGAATTATTAACAATCCATTATGGCCCTTGAAACATTGCTGTTAAAAAATGTATCAAGTAAAACAAATTTCTAACACTCGCTATAAAAATTTCGAGGTGCAGTGGTGTGAAAAGATCTATAATTAAATGTTGAATGCATGGGAATATATGAGTATGAAAAAATTAAAATAAAATTTGAACTGTCTGGTTTCCAACCATTCGATCCATATGGATTTGCATAATTTTAGTAATTTGGACAATCTAATTAAATAGTATTGCATTTATTTTGCAGATTTTTACCAGCCATGTGACACAATTGGATTTTTCATTTTGTGAATTCATAACTGAATTACCTGATATGTCTCAATGTCAATGTTTACGAAGACTGGATTTACGATACTGTGACAATCTGATAAAAGTTCATGATTCGTTGGGATCCCTCTCTAAGCTGATCAAAGTAGACTTTAGAGGATGCACCAAACTTTCCATTTTTCCGCGTGAAATCAAGATGGCATCACTAAAAACGCTTTTTCTTGAAGGATGCACGAGTCTTGAGCACTTCCCACATGTAGTGGGAAAGATGGATGCACTAGACTTCATTTCAATAGAGGGCACTGCTATTAAGGAGCTCCCACCTTCAATTGGGAATCTCTCAGGTCTTCAAGAGTTATTTATGCGCAGCTGCTATGGTCTTAGAGAACTTCCAACCAGCTTATTCATGTTGCCAAATCTTGAGACGTTTGGTTTAGATAGCCCTCATCCTTATTACGGCAGAAAGTATTGGATGAAGTTAATGCAAGATATCCAACCAATTATCAGCAGCTGTTATATGAAGAGTTTGAGTCTCGAGGATTTGGGGCTGTTGGATGAAGATCTTCACCTAATTCTGAATAATTTTCGAAACTTGGGACAGTTAGATCTATCAAGGAATGATTTCGTCTCTCTCCCTAAATGCATTAAGGAGTGTACGAATCTATGGAGGCTAGCAGTGAATGATTGCAAGAGGCTAAGAGACATACCAGAGTTGCCATCAAAATCGTATATGATAGAAGCACGGAATTGCACATCATTAACTGCAGAATCATTGGACAACTTATATTCTCAGGTTTTTCTCGTTCTTTTGGATCTATTCTCTCTTTCTTTTGCCATTTCAAACGTCAACCAAATAAAGTCAGTCCCACCAACCAAACACTTTACCTATGCAAGATAATGATCCATAAAACTATGGGTGAACTTTAAGGTACTGTTTAATACAAAACAAGGGTAAGGATTGGGATTGGAATTCAGAAAAACTATTAAAAAGTATTTAGTGTAAGTAATTTTTTATTACATAGGAGTAGGCAATCGTATGTAGGTGAGATTGGGCAATACCACCTTCCCTCATGATATTTCCCAATGCCACATAGATGGATTTATCCAATCTCAGGTAATAAGCAATTACTCACACTGAACACTCTTAACATATTGTTTCAATCCCAATCTCAATCATTATCCCTCATTTTCAATGTCTTGTACCAAACAGGACCTAAATGCATGGAAGTGATGAATTTCTTGAGAACATTTTAGCACAGTCTCATATTTAAAATCTGAGAACGCATTTGATCTGTCTGCTGTTCTGGTAAATCAGGCCAAAAAGGAGTTAATTATGTTGAGGATGAGTCTGCCGGCGGTAACAACATTTCCTGATTGGTTCCACTGTTGGAGTGAAGGAGGCACGTTGTCTTTTCGCGTTCGTGGGAATTTTCCTTCTTTTCTTCTTGCATTTGAGCTTGCGGGGAAAGCGAACATGAGTAGGAAACAGGACTTCCCCATTTTTATCAATGGTCTCCAAATAACGAAACATGATGTTGGTGCATTAAAAAAATACCATTGCGATCATAAACTGTTTATTCATACTAGACTGGGTAATTTGTCATTTTTAGGCGGATTTTTCCAGTTCAGGGAAGAAGAGAGAAAGCGCCTCAACAACTTTATAGGGTCTGATTGGAATGACGTGGAAATACAACCTATGACTGACTCACCGGGTACATCCGTAGTTAAGTGTGGAGTTTATTTCTACAAGGAAACAAACATGGAGAATGTGCAGTTCAAGTCTTCTCATGCTTCAACAGCATCACTGAAACAAAGAGCGATGATTTCTCTTCCTAATTTTGAACCACCCAAGAAGCTCCTGAGAACTGATCAAAAAAGGAAAACTCAGTAACACAAAGAAAGGGTCAAGATGAGCCTCTGCTTTATGTACTAATTGTCGTTTCATGAATTCTCTGTTTTATTGGTAATAGGGAAAATTAATTATTTATAATAAGAATGGGATTTTTGTCTTCTGAAAATAAGAATGGGTTCCAGCTTAAATGAATATGAGACTCGAATGTATTAATGAATGGAAATGTGTTGGTACTGAAAGAAAAGCAGGGATAAATGAGGAGTGACATTTTTACAGGGATGTGCCTGGTTAGTGTTTTAGGACAGGGATGGATGGGGAAGACACGGTAAACTATGAGTATTGAATCGCGATGAGTCGAATTATAGGTACTGAGTCACAAACTCGTTGAAAGTATAAGGATTAAATAATTAATTTTTCCTTATTAATATTACTATCCCTTTCATGTATTGTAGAAAAATTAAATAACACCAAACTGTTCATTATATTCATGCTACAGGAGAAAGATGGTTTTTCCAATTAATAAGCTTGTTTGGAGATCTTTGTATCCTAGCTATCGAATAATTGTAAGCCAATTGTTAGTTATATGTGGCACTGAATGCTAATGCAAATGAATATAATAAAGAATTTATGAATACTCCTTCCGGTTTTATGCAGATGACATCTTCTAACAGATGATTTTCATCCTTTTCTTCAAGACACTTGACAGTTTTTAGGAATATTAAATATTTTAAGAGAGGGAAAATTTATATGTTCCTGGAGTTTAGTGTAACTCATACATATAATATGGAAAACCACTAAAATTTTATATTAATTAAGGTTAATGCTTTCGACTTTTTTTAATACATGTAAATTAATTAAAAATTACTTATACAAGACATTGTAGAATATATGAATAAATAGAATATTTTAGGCTGGGTAGTTAATTATTGAGCTACTATTGGGCCTCATATCTCATATGCATAATGTATATGAGCTTATTTGTGTCTGTCTTAGCAACTCCCTTCGTATGTTTATTTACAACCCAAAAAAGGAACACTTATCCTTGCTCTAAATTCAAACAATCTGAGGCTTTGATAACTTCTTGAAATTCCCATCAATTTGGCTCATTTTAATACTCTTTTGTGATTTTTCAAAACTAAATATGCATGCTTACTCCCATTAAGTAGAAAAATATAATTTAAATGTGTGAAGATTGGTTTGAACTAGTTTTTGGGGATTATTAGTGCAAATTCTTCTAAGGTTTGTTATGCAGAAAGAAGCAAAAGTCAGAAGATGAATGACAAGGGGAAAAGCTTAGCTTGTTCTAGCTTATTAGAGGAAGATCATGGAAGCAAGGAGAGGAAAGAATGAAGTTCCAAGTTGCAAAGGTTGTAATTGCATCATCTGCCGTGGCAATGTTCTAATTCAGCATAGCTTCTCAGCCAAAAAGGAAGGAAAGTTAGAAGATGAATGACAAGGGGAAAAGCTTAGGTTGTTCTAGCTGATCAGAGGAAGATCATGGAAGTAGAGAGAGGAAAGAATGAAGTACCAAGTTGGAAAGGCTGAAATTGCATCATCTATCGTGACAATGTTCTAATTCAGCATAGCTTCTCAACCAGAAAGGAAGGGAGACCTTCATTGTCAAAGGCACCTCTGCCATAGCGCCTGCCCATTTCTTAAAAGTGCATTCTCTATGTAATCCGCTGCAATGTCTATTCCTGCGCCTTTGCTCGTTTTGTAGGGGTGTTTATCAAGCCAGTTGGCCCGATGTGCCCGCTCGAGCCTGAGAAAACATCAGCCAGCCTAGCCCAAAAACACAGGCATTTTTGGCCTGGACATATCACAGGCAAGGCCGGGCTGCGGGCGCAGTATGCTACCCTATCCATTTGGCCCTGTCCATGATATATATATTTATAATTTTTTTTGCCAGGAATATATATAATATATATTATTCTCCCCTCTTCTATTTGCCCTAGCCCCCACTCCTGCCGCTTTCTCCTTCCTCCTCCTTTTGTTCTCCCCAGTCGCTCATCGCTCCCAGTCTGCTCTCTCTTTCAGCTCTGTTTGGTTGGAGGGTTGTTGAGGGGAGGGGAGGAGATAAGTGTATTTGGTTGGGAAAAATAGAGGGGAGGGGAGGAAAGAAATTTGTCTTTTAGTGCTCCCCTCCCCTCCCTATACTCCCCTCAAAATTTGGGGGTTTTTGGACGGGAGAGAAATATTATGTCTCATATTAACCAAACTACCCATACTAACTTTTCAATATTTCAACTGGAAACGAATTTTTTTCCTGATAAAAAATGTTTAGTTGAAGTCAATCCTATCTGATAGGTACTATTTGCAATTGTGATTGTGTTAAATGGCACAACTTGAACTAATGACTAGTTTAGATGGTCAAGAATAATTAAATTTCTTTTTTAATTGGAGTTTTAATAAGACCTCCTCTACCTATTATGCAAATAAGAAATTGTTTGATGCATTCCGACTAGTATTCTCCAACCTTTTTCATATTTTAAAATAAATTTCAATTTGCTTTTCCTTACAAAGTTGTGACTATTTTATTTCTAGATTGGTGATGGTATCATTTTAGTGAAAACATTTGCATATTTTCATCACAGCTTGTTATGTTATTATGTTATTATAATCTTTTGCGCAGCTTTTGACTTTCAAGCACTTGTTATGTTATTTGTTATGTTATCAAATTTCATATTATTGTGTAATGTTATTCTCATTAGTAATTTATTTGTGTTTTATCTTTTTAAAGCTATGGATATTCAGCAATCACAAGTATGAGATCATTTTACCAAGTTACCGTTGGAGGATACAAATAGAAAGATTAGAGCTGCATGTAACTATTGTAATACATATTTTGCTTGCGGCTCAATAAAGCAAGACACAGTGTCTTTAAAGAGACACTTACCAAGTTGCTGCAAGAATCCACACAAACCATCATGTTATGTTATACTTGAGAATCTTGTTTATTCAGTTGCTGCAATCACATGCTTGAAAGTTTCATTGCACGTTGTTGTTGAAGGCTTTGGATTGTTTTTTTTATTATTATGTTTTTCTAATTTTGTTTAGTATCTTTTAGTTAGTTTTCATTGTTGGTTGCTATGCAAAATCAAGCTCATTTTGGTGTTATATTAAAAGATATATTGGTTTAAAGCAAATCAAAGCTATTGCTTTGTTGAATTTATTATTTATTTAAGTATTCATTTCTTCATAGTTGTCATAAGATTACCTTGCTTTGACTAGAAAATTTTTCACCAAGGCATCACCATTTAGGCTTGGAAGCTGTCCTGCCCAGTCTACTATTGCCCAGCCCAAAATGGTTAGGGCTTCCATGGGCAAAGTTGCAGCGTGCTCATCTTTCGGCTGAGCATCGGATAGTAGGCATACCTTGCCCAACTTTGCCCATGAACACTCTCGCATTTCGTGCTTTAACTTAAAAATTAAGACATATAAAAGAGGAAATCCAATGCCTACCTTTACCATATAATAATAAGGTTAATATAATGATTGTGAACTACTGATACCAAGTTTCTGACTTGGGAAAAATTGAGCCAAATTTTTTTTTAAAAAAAATAACTTTTCAAAACTAATATTTTTAAAAACCAAATTCCAATACAGGAATTGAGCCTGTAAACAACATTGGAATTCACTTTTTAGAAATTTATAGCTTTCAAAAATCCTGGCTAGTGATTCACAATCAAGCCTTATCTTCAACTGAGTAATAATAAGAGACTTGGAATGATTATTATTCACAATCAAACCCTATTTTCAACTTGGTTTTGACTTGAGAAAGCTTAATCAATATTTTTAAACCTTGGGCTAACTTAATTTATCATTAAGCACTAATTGAGAAGTTGCTAACCAAGTTTTATGAAGTACAAGAGTGAGAAGTAACTCTAGATCGTTATTTGTCTCCAAATCAAGTTTATTTTGTTTCGATTCTAATCTTTATTTTCAAAGTACATTAAACAACTTCATTTATGACAATTATTTTACTTAAACTAATCATGAGCATAATTGTGATTTTTAACTCGACTACCTTAATTTATGAAGGAACGATAGTTTTTATACTACTTGTGACTCATACACTTGTAGTCAAGCTAAATGACGAACAACAAGACTTTAATTCACTTTGTCTTTCAAAATTTATAACTTTTTTCCTTCAATATTCCTATTATATTAATTATAAAGGGTTTTTACCAAAGATAGTTTCAATGCATGTGATTAAACAACGTAGTTTGGATAAGTCAACACATATTTGTTATAATTAACTAATTTAACAAATTTTCTTAATCATTTTAAATTAATTATTTAACTCTTATATTAATAACTGGAGGTAGTATATCAATTAACAAATTAATTAGAAAAAAATTAATAAATTAGAGAAATAATATAAATTAAATTATTTTATTTGGCACACGAGTAGCTAGAAAACTTCATGAAAGATTCTTTCCAATTTCATAAACTCGCCTGCGGGCGCGCTGGAAACTCGAAATCTCGAACTCCAACTGTGGCTGCTGGGGTACATGACTTTGAATACTTCCCAGATCATTAAATAGATCACGCAAAATTCCAAAGATGCAATGGCAAGGTTGGCAATTTTTTTTTTGTTAAAAGAGAAAATCCAACGCTGCAATCCCTCCTCCGCTCATGGGGCAAAAAACAATGACGCTCTTTCCACCTGCCTGAGCAAAAACGGAAACCATCAAAGGCTTGCTCTGCCTTTGCTGATTCATCGTTTTCGTGTAAATTTCTTTTCTAGGTTTGAGTATTCAAATCCCAACACCTCGCTAGCATTTTGTGATTGTTGCAATCACGGCGAATCGAATAGCAGCACCATCATCGGCTGGCGTCGCCGGCAAATCCAAGTACAGATATGACGTTTGCCTCAGTTTCAGAGGCGAAGATACTAGCCACTCCTACACTGTTCATCTCCACGATGCTCTGTGCCGGAAGGGAATCAATGCCTTCATTGACGACGAGAAGCTTGGCAAAGGGGAGCGGATCTCACCTACGCTTCTTAAGGCCATTGAGAAATCCAGAATCTCGATTATTGTGTTCTCTAAGAATTATGCGACTTCCACATGGTGCCTCGATGAACTCGTCCGCATCATTCAGTGTAAGAAGGAGAAGAACCAACTGGTTATGCCTTTGTTTTACAATGTCGATCCGATGGATGTTCAGAATCAGAGGAACAGCTTCGGAGATGCCATGGCTGCTCTGGAAGATAGGCTCAGAGATGACTGGAAGAAAGTGCGAAAATGGAGATCTGCTTTGTCTGAAGCTGCTAGTTTGTCATCAGCATGGCTTTTGGAAGATGGGTAGGCTTCTTTAAAGTATTTTCTAATTGCCTTCTGCTGATGAAAATTTCAAATTCTTGCTTAATAATTAGTGGCTGGCTGGTTGCTGATGATATGACACGCTTTTGAAGATTTATGAAATTTTTATTGGCGACTATTATTCTTGGATTTCTGTAAACTTGGGGCTTAAACATTTTGGTTTTAATAATGTTCAAGTTTCAGATATTTTGACATAAAGATTTTTAATTTAAATCTTAACTGCAAATTTTTATTGATTTTTTTTACTTATGTTTTATTTAGTAATTTGCTATTATAATTATCACTGAATGGGTGAAGTGCTGGAGACAAACAGTATCTAACTATCTATTGTCAAGCCAAAGAGGGGGGAAACTATCTTTTCTTACCGTCAATTGCTCACAAATATTTTTATTTTTGTAATTTTCAAGTATATTGGACATTCATATCTGACTACATAACGAATACTCTTTTGTTTTTTTGTTTTTTTTTTGGCTTATGTACAAGAAGAATGAAATATTCTATTTTTTGCTTGTGAACAATGTAGTTTTTTATATAATATATATTTGGCCTTCATGATGGTTTTTTTTTTTTTTTAATGTACTTAAAAGGTACTATTATTATGGTCGCATGTATCTCATGATCTTTTAATTTCAAATATAAATGAGATTGAGGTTATCTTTGAAGAATTAAATGAGATTTTACTTGAAAGAGTTATGATAAATGAGGGAAAAAAAGTAGAAAATGGCATTTTACAACAATCATATCCACAATAACCAGGGAATCTATACTTTTGTAGATATGGATGTGGGTTTATTGAAAAGATTGTTGAAGACGTATATGCCATGTTACCTCCTAAATGCTTGCATTGCCGTGAGTACATGGTTGGACTTGAGCCTCGCATAGAAATGATGAAGTCACTTTTGGATCATTCTAATGATGGCATTTGTATGCTGGGGATTTATGGAACTGGTGGAATTGAAAAAACAACCCTTGCAGATCGGCTTTGTGTAATTAAATCTTCTACCAATTTGAAGGCGCATGTTTTTTGTTTAATGTTAAAGAAGCGTCAAAGAAATACCAGGGCATCGTTCATCTTTGGCAAACGCTGCTAACAGAGATTCTTGAGGAAAAGAACACAAGATTTGGCAGTGTTGATAAAGGAATATCTAGAATAAAACACAGACTCTCTCACAAGAGTTCTATTGGTTCTTGATGATGTTGATGAGGTTGAACAGTTGGAAAAAATAGCAAGTGGGCGTCATTGGTTTGGTTGTGGAAGCAAGGTCATTATAACAAGAAGAAATAAGCACTTGCTAGTTGTGTGTAATGTTGAGAAAACATATGAAATGAAGAGGCTAGATGATCATGACTCTCTTGAACTCTTTTGTTGGCATTCATTCCATTTGAGCCAGCCTCCAAAAGATTATGAAAAAATGTCCAGATGTGTGGTAAGTTATGCAAAGGGCCTTCCTCTGGCTTTAAGATTAATAGGCGCCAATTTGGCACATTAAACTTCAGGGAATGGAGGTCTATATTAGAACTATATGAGAGGATCCCGGAAAGAACACTTCTAGACATACTAAAGATAAGCTATGGTTGCTTACAAGATGGTGCTAAGGGTTTTTTTCTAGATATTGCTCGTTTCTTTAAAGAGGAGGATTTGGAATCTGTTGAAGAAAAATTAGCAGCTTACGATTTTGGTGCAAGCTTTTATGTTGAAGTTCTTGTTGACAAGTCTCTGATAACTGTTGCTGATAATGGTAACTGGGGCTTGCATAATCTAAGACAACAAATGGGTAGAGAGATTGTTAGGCAGGGGCCACCATCAAATCCTTGTAAACGCAGTAGATTATGGCATTATGAAGATGTACCTAAAGTATTGCGTGAAAATCTCGTAAGGATTTAATTCTTGTTTGTTTCTTCATATGGTCATATGCATTAAATTTATTGTGCTATTTTGCAATATCTAACTGTTTTACCTTGGACTTCCATTATAGGGAAGTAGTAATAATGAAGGAATAATGCTTGATCCATCTCAACAAGAAGAAGTGGAGTGGAGTAGTATGGCCTTTGAGACGATGAGTACTCTGAGGATTCTTTGGTTCGGAATTCACAATTTTCAACCAGCCCAAAGTATTTTCCAAGTAGTTTAAGATTTCTTGATTGGACAGCATATCCTTCCGCTACTCTACCACCAGATTTTTCTCCTAAGAAACTACTTTACATCAAATTATGTGGTAGTCTTTTTAGACTGGAAGAGCCATTCAAGGTATTTTTCCCCCCTTTATAACTACTTCAAGAATAAACTACTTCAACTTTGCTTCTATATATATTTATTGGATATCATATATAAATCTCGAATCTATTTCATGGATCTGCAAAACTTTAACGTCATTTTCTTCATCAGAAACTTTACTGTCGATTAAATAATTTATTTATTTATTTTTAGCAGAGATTTGAATGTGTGACATATATGAATTTCTCACGCTGTAAATTCATAACTGAAGTGCCTGATATATCTCAATTTCAAAATTTAAGAAGATTGATGCTTACAAGGTGTCGCAGTCTCATCAGAGTTCACGATTCAGTGGGACCTTTGTCTAAGCTTGTTGAATTAGATCTTAGGGAATGCAGCAGTCTTACAAGCTTTTCACGTGAAATCAAGATGGCTTCTCTTCGAAAGCTTCATCCCAGTTATTGCAGGAGTCTTGATTACTTCCCATGTATAGTGGGAAAGATGAATGCACTGAGGGCAATTTATGCTGAAGGCACTGCTATTAAAGAGCTCCCACTTTCCATTGGAAATCTTCCAAGACTTGAATCTTTAGCTATAAGCTCCCACAAAAGTATTAGGGAGCTTCCAAGCGGCTTATTCACATTGCAAAACCTTGGTTGGTTTAACCTAAGTGGTATTCAACCTCCTCGAGCAGAAAATCTTTAATGAAATTAATGCGAGAGAGCCAACCTGTTGTTGGCTGTGCAAACCTGGAGACATTAAATCTCGAAAATTGTTGTTTAACTCATGAAGATCTTCACCTGGCTTTAAATTGTTTTTGGAATGTGCAAAAGTTAATTCTTTCAGGGAGTGATTTTGTTTCCCTTCCTGAGTGCATCAAAGAGTGTGCTAATCTGCAGACACTAGTACTGTATAACTGCAAGAGGCTTAGAGACATACCAGAGTTGCCATGGAAATTGGCAAATATAGAGGCAGAGGATTGCACATCATTAACTACAGAGTCATTAGGCCATCTATGGTCTCAGTTTTTTGTCATCTCTTTTGTATACTTGTTTTCTGTTGCTATTTTGAAGATTAGTCAAATTAAATGCTAGTGTAATTGTCAGACAGATGCAGGTATTTTTCATTTGGGATATGGATTTCCCTACTTTGTCAAAGAAACCATTAATTCATTTCTTGTCCATTGACCGCAACCTTTCTGCATGAAATCCTTCTACTATCTAGTCAGATCAATTGTTTCACATTACAAACTTTTTTGCATAGAATCCTTCCTTTTCCCTTTTTCTCATTTATCTATCCACAAAATAATGTAATGGTCCACAGATTGCTGAGTTGAACCTTTCTGCTTCGATGTCGCCAGTTATGAACTATTTCATGAACCCAAGTCATCACTGAAGCTCATTATCAGTGAGGGTTAAGAACATGTTAGCATTCTGTTAGGTATAAAATTGAAGTTTTGAAAAGGTTAAGTTATTTGAAAATATTTGTAAGTGATTAAATTATAAATGCTCCTATCTGTTAGGGATGAAAATGAGAATTCTCCTTTTATTCTTTTATATGTTGTTTTCAAATCTGAAAATACCTTTGGCCTTGTTGTTCTGGTACATCAGGCGAGAAAGGAGTTTTCTCACTTGAACATCACTATGCCATTAACAACATTTCCTGATTGGTTCAACGAATGCTGTAAAGGAGGGACACTGTCTTTTGAGGCTCGTGGGAATTTCCCTCATGCTGCCTTTGCATTTGAGTTGGGGAAAGCAAACACCAGTTCAAAGCACTTGCTCCATGTTTCTGTGAGCGTCAATGGTCATAAAACACAAAGGAGACAAGATGCTGCAAATTATGGAACTAGGCAAGGCCATCTTTTTTATTTGATCTACAAATGGCTATTGAACCAGAAGAGTGGGAGAGGCTTGATAGTTTTCTGGAACTGGATTGGAATGATGTGGAAATAGAAGTCCTATCTCTAATCCCCCGCAAGAGAAAAAAAGTGATAAAGTTAACACCAGAAATGCCTGTAGTGAGCTGTGGAGTTTATGCGTACAAACAACAAACAAACATGGAGAACGTCCGGTTCAGTTCTACTATGCCTTCCTTGAATGCTCCAAGGACTTCACTGAAGCAAAGAGCGGTTACTTCTCCTCCTAATGAACCACCCAAGAAGTCATTGGGAATGTTCAAGGTTGCTGATTACTCAATAACAAAGAAGGGGATAAGGTGAGCTTCTACTTCCTACTAGCTTTCCCTTCATGGTTTTCATCATCATTTTAATTAAATTTTCCCCTTTCATGTATTGTAGGAGAATTAAACGACACCAGATTTGTCATCCGTCTTGCAAAAATAAAGTTGGTTTTTCCGCTAGGTAAGTATGTATGCTTGGAGATTTTTGTAAATTATTCAACGAGACGAATGGTTTATGATGAAATAAATGTTTACGATGGAAAAAATGTCATGTCACCAACTGAGGCATGCCTTAGTGGCTTTATGATGTATCTGAAACCACAAGAGCTTGGGTTCGACAATGGCATTTATTATTGAAACTGCCAGGGGCAAAAAAAAAAAAAAAAAAAAGGCCTCTGGATTTGCATGGATCACTGCAAAATCTAAACCATATATTTAGCTGCAGGTGATAATCCTACAGTAGTGTTTTAGTTAGGGGTTGAGTAGTTTTAATTTAAGAACTTTCCACATGAATCATTGACTTCTATGTCGCACATGCAAAGACCAAATGTTCCCACAATCTACACAGCCTCTTGTGGCACGTATTGGTGGACTAACTTTATGTAAGCTTGTAAGTTGTAACCACCTGCCACCAAATAAACTCTTTTGTTGCTCTGCCAAATGAGTTTGATCCTTCTCACTAGTCAATGAGAATGGGATTTCTAAAATGAAACCTTCTGCATTGCTTGATTAGAATAATTTTAGGTGCTCAGTACGTCAATCATGAAATGTGTGTGTGTGTGTGTGTGTGTGATCGCCCACTGTAATTAAGATTGTCGGGCGTTCTGGTTGTTGTGACGGGGGAAGAGATTTGAACCCGTTAGGCAATCCAGTGGGAAGAAAAGTGAGGTAGATGTCACATGCGCATAATATCCAGATATAATTGGATACTGCTTGTAATTATTAAATTTGAGCAGCATTACACTGTTGTTCCATTTGTTACAAAGTATTAAAAATGAGATATAAGTATGAGTAATTATTTGTTATATAGGATTAGGTAAACCCATAGAGTGGGCTTGGAGAATACAATTTCCTCCCATGATATTTCTCATTTCTACATACATGGGTTCGGCTAATCCCATGTAATAAGTAATTTTTTATACTAAATACTCTTTTAATATATCTTTTGAATCTCAATCACAATCTCAATCCCTAATTTTTAATGCTTCGTACCAAATGAGGCATGTGTGTTTAGGTTTAAATAGCTATTTAGATAAGTATTCACATTTAGTGTTTAGTGCCGAACGATGTTTCAAATATGATTACTTTTAATAAAAAGATATATACTCTTAACTAGCAAAAAAAATATGTTCAAAAAAAATTTGTGCCTTTGCACTTTAACCTAAAATTAAAATCTAAATTACATATTTTGACAATCATAATTGATTAACATTTTAAGAACAATTATTATTCAGCCTCCCAACTAGAAGTATCACGAAATATTTCTAGGAGGATTCGGCAATGGTAAGGGTAGAGAAAGGGCATAGAAGGGAACTACAACCAAAAAAAGAAGAAGGAAAATTAACAAAAATAATCCATCGCAAATTTATTTTGCGACGACCTATTACATCATAAATAATTAATTAAGGGGATTGAAAGTTTCATGAAAATGAGAAATAAAAGTTAAAGACGGAGCTTACACTTGTCAAGTACGTTGTCACTGTATCTCTATCATTCTCCATTCATGGAGGGGATTGAAAGTGAGAACAAATTTCCATTTTTTTTGAATTAATTCTTTTTCAACTCTCTATATTGCAATTAATGTTCACAATTTCCTGTAGAAACAAAAATTTCTTGTAGGTGCTAATTAAATGTACAGCATCAGTCAAGAAAAAGCAACCAACAATAAGAGAAATGTGGATCGTGGGGATAAGAAAATACAGGAGTCTCTTTTGAAGAAATGTGAGAAAAAAACGCAAAATAAATAAAAAGAAAAACTAGTGAACTTTAGATTGGACAAGTTGATGAGGATGCTTTAGATTTTTTATCTAATTCAAACCATGTTGACGAAGACTCAGCTTATCATACACGACAAAAAACTTTTTAAAAAAAAAAAATAATAGTGGCAAACAGCGCGGGGGTTATTAGGTGCATTTCCAAAAAGGAAAATGTGTGTGTAGTGATGGGCTTTAATTCTTCTCATAAAAAAAATAAAAGGGAGTCAAGAAAAGCTCGCGTACGAGAAAGAAGACATGGAAATTGGGAGAGCTAGATCAGAATAAATAACCATTAGGCTGTAGATGTGTTGGCAAAAGAGTCTCTCCACTTTTTTCTCTCTTCATTTCCTTTTACTTCTCATCTAAATTTTTAAAATTACAATTTTAACGAACTTCATATTGTACAAAATAATTTTATAAAATATTTATTATTATTTTAAATTATTATGGCTAAAATTTAGTAGTCTAATTTTATTTATTTATTTCTAAAAAATAATATTTTATTTATAAGTTTATAAAATATAAATTTGAACCCTTTGAATTACAATCTCATAATTAAAATAGAAAGTGAAAAAAAAAGAAGAGTGGAGAAATCCCTTCTAAGTGTTAGGGTAGAGTTTGTTAAGATGCTCCTTTTCTCTCTGAAAATTCTCTTTGATCCCTTCGAGAAACTTCTGCACCTTTTCACTTTCTCTCTCTTTCTGTTGAGGTAGATGTTTCGATTTATAAATGATTTTCAATATATTTTATTAACATTAAGAAAAATTTTAAATTATTTAACAGATCTTACTATTCCCAAAAAGTGCATCTATTTTACTAGTTGGGTTTTAAATATAAAATTTTTTTATAATATATATAAGGATATTATATTTAAGACCGGAATAATATTATTTTAATTTAAGAGTTTTTGTGTGTTTTCCAGCCTCTTCCAGACCCGAAAAATTGAGATTTTATAATAATTCTTTATTTGAGATTTTGAGATTCAATAAGTATTTTTTGAGCGGCTTTTCATAATTAAAATATCCTAAAATGTTTAAGAATGGCTTGATCGTAATTTAATCGGACGCGCCACGCATTCCTGGCACTCCAATGAGCCATTGCAATGTCTATTTTGACATTAAAAAGCTCCATCCGGAATCAGATGCTTGGAGGCACTAATGTTTTACTCCCTCCAATCCTAAGTACGGAGGTTAGATAGATAGAGAGTATACTTTGATTTTAAATTGAAGATATCAGTTTATTTTGTCTCTCCCATTTATAATTTTTTTTTCAAAATATTTATATTCATAAAAAGGACAATTTTAATGTGTATAATTAACGAGAGTTTTTCGATAAATCAACACACCTTTATTATTTAATTTAGCCAATTTTTTAACATCTATAAATTAGTTATCTATATCTTATACTACCTCCGGTCCTTAATATAAGACCCATTTTGACTTTTTGTTTGGTCCTAATTATAAGACCCCAATCCATTTTGTCTCTCATATTTATACATTTTTTCCAAGATAGTCCTTCTAATAATGATAGTTCTAGCCAATACACTTAATTAGTAAGGATGTTTTAGGAATGACAACACTTATTTATTACAAATAACTAACTTAACTTACTTCCTTAATCTCCTCAAATAAGTCAACTGGGTCTTATAATTAGGACCGGAGGTAGTATTAAGGATTGAAGGAAGTATATTTTATTTATTAAAATATAGTTTGTTTTTCAATATGCATTAAAAAAAATCTCTCAAAAACAAGTTTAAAATTACTAAATTTTAAATAAAATTTGGTTCTAACACTTCAATAGGTTTTGGCGACGCTAGGCTTACAAATAATAACATACTCATCTGGTCTTAAATATATGACCCTTATACATACTATAAAAAAGGTCTTATATTTAGGGTAGAAGGGGTATTTTTTAGAAAATTTTTATTTAGAATTTAGTAATTTCAAACTTCTTTTTATAATATTTTTTATTAAAAAAATTTTCATTTCATGAATATGCGTCGATCCACTTTTGAGTAGAAATTAAAGGCAAGAGTCAGTGGTCACCAAAGTTGGACGAAAATGATGAACACGGTGCTTGCTACGAGTTAGCACGCCCGCGCAAATGGCTAGGTTGTCTTTTTCTTTCTCTGCTTTATTGTTTTTTTTTATATATAATTAAATGTTGACGCTTGATGCAATTATTTCAAACCAAATAAAGATATTTAAAAAAGACAATTACCTTTGATGGCATGACACAGAGTAGTTGATTTCCTAAGACGTTCGCGTCTATATGAACACGCACAATTTATCCAAAGTGAAAGCCCATAAAAAACACTAGTCTTTTTGCCCTTTATACTCCTTGGGTCCCTAATATTTAACTTATCTTATTTTATAATTTACATTATAAAATAAATTTTATATTAATAATAGGATAGAGTAACTTTCTTTGCTGAAGTGTGTAAAATCAGACTTCACCAACAAAAGATAACCAGTACTACCTACGATCTTTAATATACAAGGCCTAAACTCAGGTTTTATATTTTTGATTTAGGCTCAGACCTATTTAACTAAAATCTAATATAGTCTATTTCTACACCTATTAAAAATATTAGATGCATGAAAAATTATTAGGTCTAAAATATTAAGCACTACTAGAAAAATATTTTAAAATAAGATCTTATTTATAAAAACTCGTGGATGCATCGAGAAGTATTTTCATTCACCCTCAATATTTTTCAGATTGTTTATTATTGCTTTTAAAAAATACTTTACGCTGCAAAGTATCTCTATTATTATTTTAGGATATTAAGTGTTGATATTGAATGTTACTCAAAAAAATATTTTAGGATACACCTAAAATGCTGAGTCTATTAATACAAATATAAATAATGAACAATAGTTATATATTGTTTATTAAAAAATTCATTCATTATATTTTATTAATTATTGTTACTATAGAATATAAAAGTAAATGAGCTCGCTATTACTTGGAGGCGAAAAAAAAAAAAACCGTTATTAGTGTGGTTTTTTTATTCATTTAATTGCCTTTCTTTTTAATTTTATAAAAATGTGAATCCTGTTCA